TCTAATTGGTTTGTCCATAAATTATAGTCTCGTCTACAAATCTAGTGTAGATCAAAGATATACAATCTAATAAATTAAAAGAAAAGAGAATGATGTAACTGTTAAACTATTTACCTCAAACAAAAATAAAAATCACATAATAAGTAATAAACAATAAATTTTATTCTAGTCAATGATTAAAAAAAACTAAGTGAACAAAGGTTGAGTTTCCTATTATTGATTTTATGGAAAATAATTTCATATATTTAACCATAAAACAAAGTTCATTTAGATAATAATAGAATTCAGTCATAAAATTATATAAGTGTGAAGTAAACAAGCTTATATATATATATATATATATATATATATATATATATATATATATATATATATATATATAACGTAAAATTCTATCAATTCCTGATAATTATTCTTATTGATTTTATATAATATTGAATATAAAAATAATTATTCTAATGAGAGACAGAGAGAGATAGAGAAAAAAAGCAAAAAAAACAATTAATTAATTTCAACTTCGAAGTATAAAAAGAAAAAAACAAACAAACAAAAATGTTGTTGTTGTTGCTATGTTTGGCATATCAATAGGATCGAATACTAGTAAATACATTCGAATATTGAATATATAAACATAAATTAGATCCATTTTTATACTGATAATTTAGACTCCATATATATATATATATATAACTTATGTAATAGTTCATTTATAATCTTGATTAGATTATATAAATCAGTTTATGAATAAAAAAGGTAAAAATTTCTAAATGAATCAAAGGTTATTATTTTTACTTAAAAAAATTAATTTTAATGTGTTTATTATTATCATTATATGTTTAATAAAAAGAAATTTATTTCGTCTAACATTAATCAGTTCATGGTCTTAATCAAAAACTTTATATTCTTCACAACCCAATACTGATAATGACCATATACTAGCTTTGTGATGGAATTCTCTGAGTTCTAGTGAGAAGCCGTGACTAATGGAGCTAATCTATGTTGGATAAAGATAGGTATCTATCTCAGTACAATATAAGATGATCGCGCGATTTCATACACTGGTTGAAGTTAGACATTAACACGATTGAATCCTGGCTCAGTAGTCTAGAGATTAAGCGTTCGTGTGCGAAACTGACGGCCCTAGGTTCGAATCCTGCGAGTGGGATCATGGATGGGCACTGTTGAGGAATCCCACAATAAAACGAAACAGTTGCCCAGTGCTTTGAGGTTTTCAATGATGGTCTAACATCGATTGATTTATGATCTTAATCAAAAACTCAATGATCTCCACAACCCTATACTGATTATTTGAGAATATTTGGAAAAATATCATTTGTACTAGTTATTTATGTACAACTTTGAAATTACGTCATTAGGTATAGATTTAATGTTGTTCTTAGCAGAGGAGAAATATTTGGTCAATATTCATTATATAAACTATAATAATGATTGAATCCTAATAAACACTTTGTCATATTTTGAGTTTAAATATGATATTTGCCTGATTTTTTAATATTTCATTACATGGCTTATTGTTGATAAATAATGAGGTAAGAGCACTATATATGGAATTGCTGGGGAAGTGGATTAGATAAATTATTTCATGACGGGTTTATACTTCTAGTTATTTTTTAAAAAAGATTTTTCTCGGCATACTATAGTGAATGAGAACAACAGTGGTAACAATGAAATATTAAATTACATTCGACCAGGTTTCTGATGCCTGGTACAAATCGCTTTATGAAACTTCAGAATATTGGAGCTTGACTGTTTACCAATAACCTTGAAAATTTGCAAGGTATTGACTTCAAATCCTATGTCTAGAAGATGTTCTACCCCTCTTCCTCTCATCTTGGTTAAGACAACTATGTGTATGATATGACTTATTTTTCATTTCTTCTTCATATCTGTTAAGTGGACGGTTATCCAATATTTTTCTGACCCGTAACTTATTTCCATCCTGATGTGAACCGGGAAACAAGAGGCCCTGACAAACTACGAAAGCTATTTTTCCGGACGTTATTTCACTTTATTCAAAGCTTGTAAAACACTGACATTTATTATTGTCCCTAATCTATTCTACAGAACATAAGCTTTCGTTCGATGTATCATTCACTGCCATACCTTTTTCTGTTCCGAAGCTATTGTAATTTAAACATATTATTTTGCACCCTATTTTCTACTCTAATTCCCAGCTTTGGACATAATTGTATTTTTCCGAATTATTGTAAGTTGAGGTCGGGTTATTCACCTATTTATTCATGTACCTTCTTCTCTCTACCCCATCTCGAACTCACACGTACTAGTCTCAAGGTTAAGCCGATCAGCCTATCGCATCAAGGTTGAAATCTAGATTAGACAAGTACCCTCGGCACCAAAAGTGGGTAGACAAACCTAGGTCATAGCACATCCCCATATTCTTCTCTAACACATATATTTATCAAATAACCACGAATACGAATATACAGCTTAAGCACATGATTTTGTCAAGAAGAGCATCTTCCTCTCTGGATTTTCCTTAGCTTTGTTTTCTCATAGTTCTATATTTTTATCTTGAATCAAGAACTGATCTTATCCACCATTGAAAACCTATATGCACTCGAGGGGCGTTTCTTCATAGTATTATTCTGTTCCCCGACAGTGCACATCCACAACTCCGCACCCACCAAGGTTGACTATTTCGGGACGATCCTCATTCACGAGCCTCCTCTAAACAAAAAAATGAGGACCAGAAGAAATGTCACCAACTCAGCTACTCACTATCGACTTCAACCGAGGTGATATACAAACGGCACTAAGTTCTCTAGAATTAGAAAAATCAACAGAACTGGATGAACTATATCTTAAAATCCTGAAACAGACCATAATATAAATTGCTACTCTGCTCAAAACTTCATTCAGGATTTTACTAACCCCCAAAACATTACCCGTAGACTGGATGTATACTACTGTCATTTCAGTTCATGTGACAGGAATATGGCAATTCTCATCAAATAACAAACCCTCCAGACCTTCATTTTACTTTCAATCTATTTTTGTCGCAGCACCTTATTTTTTTATCAACTGAGAAACATTTTTAACCAAAGGTATACAATATTATAAACATATATTAATAATTATGATAATTTGTTTGTACATAATAATGCTAATTAAAACAAAACTTTCGATTTTACTAATTATTAATAATGAAGAATGAATTACTTTATTTATAGGTAACACGAAAATAATGTTGATTTGATTTGTTAGAAAGATTTAAATTATCGATACTTGACCGAACAGTCTAATACGATTTGGACCTCGTGAACAGATGCTTCGATAGAGTATAGACTGACGATTATCTGACATCACAGTGGTACCAGTGCAGTTCAATAACCATGCTTCGGTCTTACTCAGTGTGTTAAGCTAAATTTAATAATTGCTCCTACGATCTTCAAAAATGACAATAGATTCAGTGGAATTGTTAGATATTGGCTACCGAATGAGCATAAATTGGAGTATTTAACACACTGAATATTAATAGGGTGTATAGTAAATTATTGAAATGAAATGTGCATAAATGTAGATTTTGTTTTAACTACGTAGTTTTTAACGAATACGAGAACCGAAATGATCAAATATGTATTTTAAATAGTTTAGGGTGCACCAATCTTACTGCTTTTATCACTTTTCATAATACACTTGTCCAATATCAATTTTCATTATTTGAAAACTACTAGAATTTTTCTGAATTTATGTGCTTAGGTTGTCATACCGTTTCACACAAGGCTTTCAATTACCAATGATTAACTGCAACCACGTAAATAAACGTTTTTCTTAGACTCAAGTCACTACCAATCATTAGCAACCGGTAAGCAAACAAGTCCGCGCATGATTGATATTTTATTCAGTGCAAAAGATAAGTAGTCATCCTACGTTTGATTCACTTTTTCTCGAACCTAACTAAAATGGCAAAGTAAATGAAAGAGCTATTTTCTCAATGCGTTTTCTTCATAAACAACCCTTAGTATCTCATGAACATGTTCAAGGGTATTCTCATGTTTTAAATGATTTTATTCAAGCAATTTCTGATCTGTTTGGCAGTACTGAATTTTATTCATAAATTGTACCGAAATAAAGATATTATAAGTTGCTTCATTAGCACCACTGGTACTGATAAACTAAATTTATTGTCCAACGACTTTATTGATTACGTAGTTACCACATAGAAAAGATATCATAATCAGATAAAAAGGAGATCGACAAAAAATATTTTGGTCAGAAGTTTCATTGAAATCATGAGCCGATCAATATGAAAATACCTTATTGACAAACAAACAATTGTCAATAGTTTATTTTTTTATAAACACACTGATGGGGGCTTTCTGTTTAATCTTCCTATGTAATGGTGTTTTTATGATTAAGATTTGATTTTAATGGTTGAGATCATGAGTCAGTTGAAGCTAGACCATTATGGAAAACCTGGAAGCATTGGACGGCCGTTTCGTCCTATTGTGTTATTTCTCAGCAGTGCGCATTCACGATCCCTCCTCGTGAGATTCGAACTTAGCACCTGTCAGTCTCGCGCGCGAACGCTTAACCTTTAGACCACTGAGCCTGTATTCAACGGCGTTAATGTCTAACTTTAACAAATCCACGAAATTGAGTGACACATCCACCGTTGTCTTCAGTGAGTTACTATCTCACAACAGCCCTGATTGAACTCCACTGGTCTAGCTTTAATTAATTCATGATCTCAACTATTTAAATTACTATAACATCCACAAATAGCCCTTCTGAGATAAGGATTTATATATATATATATATATATATATATATATATATATATATATATATATATATATATATTTCCAATGTGCTCAGTGTAAGTTCCTACTCATAGACACATACATTTTACTGAGAAAAAGACAAAATAGATTATAATTAGATTTTCTATTCGTCAAAAATATTGTTGCATGTAGTTAGTTGTACGTGTCATATAAATTGTGTTTATTATTGTTTAATGGTAGAATACAAATAATAATTAATTAATTAACTAATAAGATTAATATAGTTGATTATACAAAATTATTTACATAAAATGATAATGGAGAATTTTATTAACTCAAATCTAATTGATTTTTAATACTTGAAACCAAGCGTAAATGGAAAAGTAATGTGAGTTTAAATATTCTACTATGAATATATATATATATATATATATATATATATATATATATATATATATATATATACATTAAAGATATATAAAATTGACTTCTTAGAATTCATTCTTTCATATTATATAATTAAATCAAATGCTGAGATGATGGAGAAAATTTGTTCTACCTAAAGTTTGTATTGACGATGTCGTTTAGAAGAATGATGAAATCTTCACAAATAAACCATCTAGTTCAGAGAACAAAACTCCATCTAAATCAAATGCATATCCCTAATAAACTACAAATTTTTACTATTATATAACATATAGATAAGTTTTATTATATTATTAATATTATTTAAACTATTACTTACTTGCTTACGCCTGTTGCTCCCAATAAAACATAGGCCGCCAACCAGCATTCTCCAACCCACTCTGTCCTGGGCCTTCTTTTCTAGTTCCATCCAATTCTTGTTCATTCTTCCCATGTCTATCTTCATTTCCCGGCGTAATGTGTTCTTTGGTCTTCCTCTTCTCCTCATTCGGCCTTAAGGATTCCATGTGAGGGCTTGTTTTGTGATGTAGTTCGGTGCTCTTCTCAATGTGTCCTATCCACTTCCAGCGCTTCTTTCCGATTTCTTCCTCCACCGGGATCTAGTTTGTTCTCTCCCACAGTAGATTGTTGCTAATAGTGTCCAGCCAACGAATCCGAAGAATTTTGTGTAGACAACTGTTAATAAACACTTGTATCTTCTGGATGATGGCTTTCGTAGTTCTCAAGGTTTCTACTCCATACAGTAGAACTGTCTTAACATTTGTATTGAAAATCCTGACATTGGTGTTGGTTAAGAATTGTTTTGAGTTTCAGATGTTCTTCAGTTGTAAATATCCTGCTCTTGCTTTGCCGATCCACGCCTACACATCTGTATCAGATCCACCGTGTTCATCAATGATGCTGCTCGAATATGTAAAGGTTTTCACATCTTCCAAAGCTTCTCCGTCAATTGTGATTGGATTGGTACATGTTGTGTTGTATCGAAGAATCTTGCTTTTGCCTTTGTGTATATTGAGACCTACTGCTACTGAGACTGCAGCTACACTGGTCGTCTTCTCCTGCATTTGTTGTTGTGTATGCGATAGAAGAGCCAGATCATCTGCGAAGTCTAGATCATCCAATTGCATCCTAGCTATCCACTGTATCCCGTGCTTCCCTTCAGATGTTGATGTCTTCATGATCCAATCGATCACCAGGAGAAAGAGAAAGGGTGAGAGTAAGCAACCTTGCCTAACACCAGTCTTTACTTCGAACGACATTGTCAACTGTCCTCCATGAACGATTTTGCAGTTTAATCCATCATAGGAATTCTGTATGATATTGACTATCTTCTGAGGCACGCCGTAGTGTCGAAGAAGCTTCCATAGGGTTGTTCTGTCCACGCTGTCAAATGCTTTTTCGTAGTCAATGAAGTTGATATAGAGTGATGAATTCCATTCAATTGATTGTTCCACAATGATCCGTAGAGTTGCGATTTGGTCTGTACACGATCTATCCCTACGGAATCCTGCGTATTGGTCTCGAAGTTGGACGCATACGATTTAAATTGTTATTTGAAAGTATAACTATTCAAAATGAGAATAATTCGAGTATCAAATAAGAATCTTTAAACAATAATAAAAAGAGTTATGATTCATAGATCAGTTACTTGAAAGCTGTCAGTTCATAATCATTGTACTATATTAATTAATAGATAATTCATACAAAAATAAATCAATTAGATAATGTTAGATAATTAAAACTAGTGAAGTTTTGCATTAGTTATAGCGTAATCACTGATTATTAACTTACTGTTGTAAAACGTCTGATAATGTATTATCTCAAAACAACTATGTTTTAGGTAATCTATAAGGATTTTTAAAACTATATAAATATACTTTTTTTCTATTTATCATAGAAGTAATCCTAAGACATCATGTCAAAACGATGGTTAGGAATATTCACTAATCTTTCTTCTAATTCTTACTGCTTCAATTTTAAAAAGTGAGTTATTTCTATTTTATTCCGAATAGCTTGATTAATTAATGATTAAAATAATTTAATCAAATAATTTTGAGTATAATGAAAATGTGAACTATGTACATTTGGTTATTTAAATCACAATTTATTGATCATTGAGTATAGAACAATTTCAGGTTTTGTCTATTGTTTTAATACTGACCAAATTCTATTGAATTACAGTGTTATTAATTTCATTGATTAACGGCTCAAACAGCTCAGTCATAACGTTTAAGACTGTGAAATTGAGTGATCCAAATTTAAATCAGATTAGGAGCTTTACTTACCTCATGTTAACAAGTACACTTTACCAATGAGTGCTAGTTAGCACAACATTTAGGTCCAGGATTTCCTGTTGGATACCTTCAACCAGTTAATAGGATAGTTATTTCGTCGAACTTTTGAAATTTTGGGTTAATTCTCGTGGACTGGCGGATGTAGGCATATCACTGAGTACGACGGCAGAACAAGCACTATTAGAATGGATTCCCGCTAACAGACGCCTATGTGCTAAACGGCGAAATGGCTCCGTAAGAACTCGGAAAGATAAAGAGACACGTCGTTGCCTTTTTGTCGTTTCCGCCTACGCTCCCATTAACTGCAGTCCGGATGAAGTGAAAGACGACTTCTTCGTAAATCAGGCTGTGTTCACATCTGGTCGTGGCTCCATCGAACACATACTCACCATTCGTCAGATTTTAGAATACAGGCATGCTTATCGGTATTCAAAAATGGTGGTCTTTCTTGACTTGAAAGCAGCGTTTGACTCTGTAGACCGAGAGGTTCTGTGGTAGTGTCTGTCATTGAAAGATGTACCTCAGAAGTTCATAAAGCTTGAGAGGGCTCTTTACTCGAACACTACCAGTCGAAACATAGCTTATGGCGAACTGTCATCTGATTTTGCTACCTCAAGTGGTGTCCGGCGAAGCTGTCCATTATCTCCATTTTCGTTCAAATTCATCATAGACATACTGATCGAGATAACATTCTTGTCGTCTGAATTTTTGGGAATTGATCTCTTTCCAGGATGTCCACTTATCGACTTGGAATACGCAGATGATATGGTCATGTTTGGTGAATACGCTGATAAAATGCATTGTGCAATAATGTCAGGATGTTTGGGATGCAAGTTGTTGCTTGAAGACTGGCCTGCATCAACACCTGAACCACGGATTGGGAGTGAAGTAGTCAGACGAGTTGACAACTTCACTTATCTTGAAAGTTTGATTAGCACCAGTGAGTTGGTGTCTGACTAGATCTGTGCAAGCATTCAGAAAGCTCGTTTAGAATTCCCCAATATACGTCACCTATGGCTATGACGAGATATCTGTCTATCAATTAAGGGACGAGTATACTGCTCAGCAGTTCGTTTTGTTCCAATATACGGCTTTGAAATGTGACCATTAAGAGTAGAGGATACTCGTAACTTGCAAGTATTTGATGACAGATGTCTTCGAAATATTGCTCGCATCTGCTGGAATCACCGGGTAAGTAATAGTGAGGTTAGATGCAGGGTATTTGAGAATGATGGTAAATTAGTCGAGGAGATCGCGAATCTTCGTAGGCTGATATGGTTGAGCCACGTGTTGCATATGCCTGAACATCGTTTAACATGATGCGCAATGCTAACTACTGTTGCAGACTCACACATACACATCTATCTTAAATGCTTGCTTAAGTATTCTAGTATATTTTATATAAATTTTGATTCACTTAGTATTGTATATGAGATTCTACATTCTAAGGGGCATAAATAATCGATGACTCAAAACTTAGAGAATATAAATATGTTTAATTTAATCGGATCATTACTACAAAACGTAATGTTAATCACAAAAATCACGCACTTGAAAAAGTAAAAGATCCTACATGTACGTCTGACACGTATTAACTGTTAACTTTAAATTTACTAAAGTTATATTAATCTGTTGTTTAATAATAACAATATACAATAAATAAACATAAATTATTCTATAGGTCTAAATATTTGATAAGTAGAATAATTTTATTGGAAAACTAATTTATCTGTTTATTGACTCATTCAAATTGCACTTAAACAAATTACATCTAGATCGATAATGCAAACAACACCTTTTTCAATCGTCACAACAAAAAGACCCTATATATATATATATATATATATATATATATATATATATATATATATATATATATATCATGTTACACCCTTTATAAATTTTAATCATATTATGAATCAAGCACGTTATTTCAGGAAAGATGTAAGTGATAATGAAGTTATTTAATCGTAAAGTAATTTCAAAGAATTGATAGTGATTTTATTTCACTGAAGATCTCAGGCCGGTTCATGATTTCAATGAAATCCGAAAATCTCTTACAACCCTATATTGATAGTTATCATGTGCTCACTAGTGACTTGTTTCGAGAGAAGAATTTCTACGGCTCTAGGGAGAATTCATGACCAGTGGAACTAATCCGTATCGAGTGTGAGTCAGTCATCCATCAAAGATTATGTGAGACGATGATGCAATATAGTGGACTGATTAAATTTAGACATGAGAACACTGTTGGATACCGACATAGTGTTTTAGAGTTTAAGTATTCACACTGAAGACGGAATGATTTGTGTTGTATTGCAGAGTTTGATTTCATGAGTGTTCGGTGTTAGGGAGTCCCATATTAAAACGAAACTGTCTTCGAGTGCTTTCGGGTTTTCAACGGTATCGTGATATTGATCGGTTTATGATTTCAATCGAGCAATTTCATTTTAATGCTTCCTAACTACTGTTAGAGTTTTATTTCACTGTGTGATTCAATAATCACTGATAAAATGCTTATTTCTATGTATAATTAGATAGATGAAACATTATGTTTAATGGTTAGTAAATATTATATCTATACTTTATTGGGGTTTTTACAACCTACTAAGACTAAATAATAATTACACATTAATTAGTTCTTGTGTTTGGTACTTACTTTTCCAATATAATAATTTTCTTCCCGATAAATAAACATACTTATTACGATTTGAATAACTAACACATAATGTAACAAGAATATCATGTAATTTAATATGATTTAATAATGGATTGTAGATAGATTCCAGGATTTACAACCACTTCTCAACGTGGCTTCACAAATTGTTTGAAGTACTATCTTGAGTGATTTATATTATTTAAAACTAATTACATTTAGGATGTAGTGTTAAAAAAACATAGTAACAATTTTTGTGATGTAAATAAGGTTAACCTTATTTCGTGCTACTTGAAACTCGTCAGCAAGGTGTGCCTGTAATCTTAAGGGAACTGGTGCTCCCAGACGGATTCGATTCCGTGTCAGCCAGCTCCACAGTCAGAGACGTTACCACTGAGCTATCCGGGCCGCAACCGACCGATCACTGGGTGGTGATCAATGTGATGTGTGTCAAGTCCTTCTTAGTGCAGATCGAATTCTATCGACCAAGTTGCAATGTGACCACCAGTCTAGGTGACTCGACACTACTGTTTCAATGATTTATATTTTTCATTGACCTCTAGCGGGAATTTCGAGTGAATAAACTGAGTTTACCATAGCTTGAGAAAAATGTTTTTTAGCACATGATGTAAGAAAAGGCGGGTACCTTAGAGTAACGTGATTGGTTTATTACATTATTTCAGAGATTCATAACAAACTGTTTGATTGAAAAAGGAAGTCAACATTCTGCACTGGTCTTTATATCTTCACTTAATAATTTCTAGCACCAAAACATTTTTGATAATGCTTCAATAACACTTCTTAAAATCAAGCTATATCTCTTCGAGAAATTTCATCATATTTCTTGAGGCGTGGAGAGATCTGACAGATATTTGTAGTTTAACGACACTCTGTTAAACCGAATCATGGTATTGTATTAAACTATTTTTACAGACTCTGATACACTATATTGATTTTTATCGTTCAGTTCATCATACGTATTCTGATTTAATTTGTAATCCACTACAACGAAACGTCTTTCAGATATTCGTGCTCACCAACATCCGAACTTTGTAATTATTATCACATATCCACTATGACAGTAAAATGCTCATCAATTAGACTAGCTAGAAGTAAAATAATTAACTGTTACTGATGATGTAATTACAACTAAAAACAAACTCATGAGGTGAAAGACCAGCAAAATTAAAAGAGAGATAGAGAAATAAAAAGTTTTAAAAAAATATATGCATGAAATATGCAGTACTCAGAAACCAAAGAATAGAAAACTGGGAAGGGAAATCTGCCGGTGCTCATTCATTTGAGTGGTATTCAAAGTGGTATTAACCTTTAACGAAAGTTATCATAACATTATTGTAATTTCAATGGAACTCTCAATGATATATATTATAACATTGGTAAAAGTATTTCTTCAAACAAATGAATCGGCTTTGACATCATTTTTTATGTCAATAGACTCGGGAAAGTATGATAAATTTGTGCCCGCCTATTACTTGATTACTCTGAATGATTACAATAGCTCGACTGCAGATGCTTATTTCAGCGAATGACAAGAAATTCATCTGCTAGACGATGGAACCCTTTGGTTCATCTTTATGTACGATGTTTTCTGATAAACGAAGAAGTACTTTGATCTCTAACCCCTCAACACTTAATAAATTATGTAACATTTTCCGAAGAATAATGTTCAATACCATTCAAATACATTTTAATGATTCTACGTAATTCGACTTCAAGCGACTAGTAGATTAACACCATTTAATTTTACAAAATAAATTTATTTTATGAACCAATGTAAGTATAACAGAAGGTAGATTGGAAGACTGGTGGTTGTCAGTTGTTTTGAGTTCTATATATTCTTCAATTGTAGAGATGCTCTCCTCGCTTTGCTAATCCTCATGTTTACATCTGCATCAGATCCTTCTTGTACATCGATGATGCTGCTGACCAGATGTGTAAACGTTTCCACCTCTTCCAGAGCTCATCCATCAAGTGTGATTGGGTTAGTGTTCTCAGTGTGGTATTTGAGGATCTTGCATTTTCCCTTGTGTATGCTGAGGCCTACTGCTATAGAGGTTGGTGCTACACTGGTAATCTTCACCTGTAGTTCTTGGTGTGTTTGGGATAGAAAAGTTGGATCATTTGTCAAGTCCAAATCATCTAGTTTCACCCAAGCTGATCATTGTATTCCGTGCTTCACCTGAAATGTGGAGGTCTTCATAATTCAATCGACCAACAGAAGAAAAAGAAAGGGAGAGTGTAGACAGCTTTGTCTGACACCGGTCCTCATTTGCAATGCATCTGTCAGCTGTCCTCCATGCACGACTACACAGTGTAGTCTGTCGTACGAATTCCGTATGATATCTACAATATTCTCAGATACATCACAGTGTCGAATAAGGGTCCATAAAATTCTATTATGCACACTGTCAAACGCTTTCTCGTAGTCAAGGGAGTCGATGTATAGTGACGAGCTCCATTCAATTGATTGTTCAACGATAATCCGTTGTGTTGTGATTTGGTCTGTACACGATTGATCCTTTTGGAATCCGCCCTGTTGATCTCGAATTTGAGAGTCTACTAAGTCTTTCATTCACTTCAACAACACCCTGTTGGAAACTTTTCCTTATACCAATAATGGTGTGATGCTTGTGTACCTCTCACACTTTCTATGATCTCCTTTCTTTGGTATAATAATATGCCAGTTATCCTTCTTTCCAGTGTGTCAGTTCTTCGTGTTCCTCCCACATCTTCTTCATTAGAACTTGAAGCATGTTTGCATTTACCGCTTTTTATTCGGCTTGTGCCTTGACTTTTTCTCAGTTGTTGCTAATTACCTATCCATACTCTTGACGTATCCTTACAATTACCAGCTCCACGTGTTATTCAGTCTATTTCCTTCCTTTTTAACTTGAATATTTCAGGTTAGATATTGCTTTATAATACAGTCTGATGGTTGCGATAAAGTGTTTCTAATCTATCTCCAATATCATATCCTAATTTTCTCACAATCTGGAAGCTGTTTCTTTTGCTCCCACAATTAGTCACTGCTGATGGTCTCGCCGTTCAGGTTTCCCATCGGAACGTTCAGCTTTTTCGTAGAACATTTTCCGACGATGAACTCTAGCCTTTCAGAAAACTGGTGTTTGTACTCTCCCTCGATATCATTGATAAGCCTGTTGAACCGAATGACATTCGTTTCAGTCTCTTCCTTCTCCGTTTTAAAGGATACTTAGGTACTCATGAATTGATGAAATTGCCACCCTATAAACGATTTTTATACTTTCCCAGACATCATCACTGCAAGTGCTAGCGCGTTCTTGCCATTTTCTTTTTCATGACACGAATGTAACAACGTTTCTCTTGAAACTAAGCTTCTCTTCCCGGCTTGAGTCCAACGAAACACGGGCAGGTTGTATTTTCTCACTTTGTCCCTACATTTCATGTAACTATATTGATTGCTATTCTTTTTGTCAACTTGAGCCTGGGCATTGTTACTTCCGAAGAATTTGTGCTTTTGTCATCAGGCTTTATAAGTGTTATATATGAGGACCATTCGAGTTGAAGTGGCTGAAATAATTTTATAAGGTTGGTGTTTTATTGGAAAAGTTCTTTTCTAAGATATGTGGTTGCCAACCACACGTCATATTCTGCTTCTTTATTGAGGCTTCTGACCGTGAGTAAAATTGGGAATGTTCAAGACGGGGTGGCAACACATTAATTCACCGTTACATACATTACAGATATCCCCCCTAACCGACGTAAGACTGCAGATTAGGACTGTATTATGCATCAACTATAAAATCCAGGAACTGATCATCAATAATATTAAAAATATGGTCCGTTATGTCAGATTTATTTATCTAATTAGTGATCAAATTTAAATACATTGAACTGGTCAATATTTGAGACTAACAATATCAATAGATTTACCGTTTTAATAAACAAATCTAATTAATTTTAAAGAGAGCTCTCTTTAAAATAATAAAGGGAACTATATGCATGAAATCTAATTAAATTACTGAGATACACGTTTCTTCTTTACTAATAAAATAATATTTATCTCATAAAATAAAACGACTTTATAATATCTACAAACCTTATGATCTTGTGTTTTGTAGAACAATACATTTATATCAACTTATTACCTGATGAACCAGTTTAATAAGCTTTATCAATATAAATACAAAACGCGTCAGTACTAAGATTACTTTCTAATTAAGATTATGAACCGATTGATGTTAGACCACCATTGAAAACGTGAATACACTGGATAGATATTTCGTGCTAGTATGGGACTCCACAGAATTACACATCCACGATCCCTAACGCGGGATTCGAACTCAAGGCCTTCGATCTCGCGCGCGAACACAACCTTTAAAACCACTGAACGGGCATCCAACGGTGTTAATGTACAACTTTATTCAATCCACGAAATTAATCAACCATCTTTTATTGTACTGTGATAGAAACCTGTCTCTACCTGACATGGATTAGCTAAAATTACTAAAATAACTAATAAGTGATTTTATCAATCGATTTATTTACTGATGACTATAATATGACACATATCATTTAGGTATTCTTTTATGTTGGATTGATGATTATTATTTTTGAAAAATAAATGAATAAATGCAATCTAATATAATTTATCTTTATTTTTCAATAATTCATTATTTCAGAATTTTCGAAATGTTATTCTCATCATTAATCAATTCGCCGTTAAAATGTTTATTAATGATATTATTTTTAATTGGTGCTACATACGTATGCTATTTATGGAATGTAAAACTTAATGAAACAAATAATCCAGTATTTGCTATTAATTATGCATCTATTGATAATCCATTCAATGAGGTATATTTGGGTAATTTTATTGTTTATATTATTTTATCTATTATTATTATTTTTTGATTGAGATCATGAGTCATTTGGAGCTATACCATCATTAAAAACCTGGAAGCACTGGATGGCCGTTTCATTCTATTGTGGGACTCCTCGACAGTGCGCACCCATGATCCCGCTCGCGGGATTCAAACCCAGGGCTGAGTAGTCCCATAATAGGACGAAACGGCCATCCAGTGCTTCCAGGTTTTCAATGGTAGTCTAATATCAATCGGTTCATGATTTCAATCAAAAACTTAACAATTTCTACAACCCCTAAACTGATAATTATTACTATTATTTAAAAATCTATTTTTTATCCCTGTTCTTTTTTATTGACTTTTGTTTCAGTATTGTAGTTATTATTATTATTATTATTATTATTATTATTATTATTATTCGAATACATCTTATGGATTTGCATAGAATATAGTTGAGTCTTACAGAAATTATTCATAATATTTAAACATTACATCTTTATACTAACATCTCTATGATTGTTACAAGTTTGAGTACATTGAGTAGATAATTAAAATCAGCTCATTGATTTGTTATATTAATAAGTATAGAATAACTATTATGAATGATAATTGTAGATTAATCCATAGTTTTAAGTTAAACAAGTAGATGATTACCACATAATTTCACAAACTATCCATTAGATTTAAAAAAAACCAACAACAACAAACAAACAAGTCATTTTACTAATCGATGTAGTCACTAGTCAATTTAGATGTCGTATGTTATAAATTTCTTTTAAATATATTAATATAAAGTTAGACTTTGGCCCTCTATGTACTCAAGTATTAATAAAATTAAATCGATAGAAAGTAACCGTTGAATGAGATTTTGTTACAAGAGAAATCTGTTACCTTTTAATCATTTCGAGTTTTAGGCATACAAAGAATGAATGTAGAAGTGATTATTATGATGATAAATTTTAAAACATTAATTTAATAGCAAACGAAGTAAGACCTTAAAAGATCTTAATTAAAAAGAAACAACAGCAGTAAAGTGTTAAATCTTATTTTCCCTGAAAAGAATTCACGTTTTTTTCTTGGTTTCAAGTATGAAAGAATCGTGACTCTCCTTAAACTGTATCCAACACATTTACGTGATTGTAAAAAAAGGACAGTTGCGAAAGAATTTATTAAAACGTTTAATGGAGTTTAAGTAAAACTGTGTCACGCCTATAACGATATATGATGTATGGAAATTTACAAACAATCGCATACTATAGTATTTGATTAAAATTATCATTTTCATAGACTAAGTAAATGATTGGAATTCTTGATGGATAATCGTATACAGTCAGCTTACTATGAAACTTCTTCATTATCTCAAGGATTCATTGGTTCACATATAACTATTTATTACTAAATAAAACTAAATGTCTCAACTTTTGAGATCATTAATTCGACAGTTTAAATTTAACCTCTTATGATCAAATCATAATGTTCTCTTATAATTTTACAAAACTGTTAATGAATCAATTTAATTATTAACTTGTGATTTTAAACATGAAACAATTGCTTTGAATGTACGTGTTATTTTTAAGTTATCTATAGTATAAAAAATTGATTGTACTATTTGAGGTCTACACAATCACTAAAAAAATGTCATCCAGTTTTTAATTTTAAACAACAGATTATTCTGGAACTATACTCTCATAAATGAATTATCTACTGAAACTACATTCACCCTCATTAGTTTGATTTATAGTGACACAATAATATATCATTTTAATAAACCGTGATGGTGCAGTCAGTCAATTATCATATACAGAGCGTCTGACCTACCCCTTACTAAATTGCCTAATGTTATGTATTTTAAAAAGTATTCTAATCTAACTATCCATTCTTTTTTCCTAGCATACACATATTATGATTTCCATATCAAAAAATTCACAGGAATAAGTAATCCTTATATAACCTGATCTCTTGATAAATTTAGATAAAGAGAGAATGGAAATATTTTGAGTCTTTGTCATTTTTGGATGAGTTTAGTGAACCATATTCCATAAATGGTGTTAAGATCATTATAATCAGCAAATTTTTGTAGTCCTCTCTTTCTTTTTACTAATTTCAAATAATTTATTTAGACAAATCCCAAAAGAGAATAGATATGTGATATTATTGAGATATAAAATGAAAAAGTGTGTAACACAAGATGTCAAATTAGCAACGACACTTTACTTTTCATGTCAACTGATTGCAGAGTGGTTTACCTATACTATAGTTCTCATCAGATCCTATAAATCAAGTTATAATATGACCAACTACTAGTCTGAGTGACCCAACATCATGTGGACTATGTTTAGATATTAGCTGATGGTCTGAACATAGGTTTCATCCGACTTAACACTTGACAATAAAGGGTATTTGCAGTCTTGAAGAAACGATATACCTAGTGCAATGTGAGTCCACCCACTGTCATAATCAGAGACATTACCACCTAGCTGTTCCGGTTGTAAATGACCTGTTGGACTGGATTATATACGATGACTAGTAAATGAGTGATAATCAGTGTGATGTTTGTTTAATGTTTTATACTTATCGAATTATACGGATCACGGTTGAAACGTAGGTCAAAGTTTTCCATCCAGTCGTTTTGAACTACCATATTTACACACTATTTTGATAAAGTGATCTACCTTCTGAAATCAAACGAACGATTCTGATACTATAAACTTATAGTTGATTCTGATTAAAAATAAGTTTTGTTCTGAAATAACTGATCTATGGAGTCGATTTCAATATTTTCCTTCTTTCAAACTCATAAATCAAATAATAACTCCTACCAGGATTTAATGTTTGTACTCAACATCCGAAAAGACAAACTGTTAACAGTGCAATAATCTGATTTTTTCATTTGCTTCTGAATGTCTTTTAACCAAAACAAGGAAATGAGATGATTACAAGTATGTAGGTACTGATGTTTAAGACTAATGTAAAGAATGGACAAGCGTAATAATGATTGCACTTCAGTGATGAATAAGTGGTAAAATTTCAGTCGTGTCCGGAACTGCCTAATTGTAACGGGTATGGTTGTGAAAGTAAGTGAAATATGATTGATTGTCACAGAAAGTAACACTTTTCCCAATATCGCAGATGATGAAGAGTTTTAACTAACATAAAACTGAGCTCAATTAAAGTTTTTATTGATAGTTTTCGACTACTTAACACCAACATGTGATTAAAGATTTTTTCTACAAGTTCAAGTCCTATTAATTTTTCATTGATCCTTTACCATCTGGATACAAAGATGATATCCAAGTGACGAATGCATAATAATAAAGATATAGATGTCCACCATGACGCAGAGGTTCTTCAGCAAAAGTTAACGCTATTGATAGTTTTAAATTTTATGATCTAATTGGTTTGAATTGCAAAGCTATCATTGTCGTTATGAACATTATTATTAGCCTCCATTTATGTGGAAATGCTCTTTCTAAATATTACACAAGGGTTAAGATAGTCACTTTTAGTGACTCTTCTGACTATATGACTTTTCAGGTTTTATAGCCTGTTTCTGTTGACTGTTTTGTCCAGCTGATTTCTAACCATGTAAGTTACTTACTTACTTACGCCTGTTACTCCTCGTGAAGGAGCATAGGCCGCTCACCAGCATTCTCCATCCAACCCTGTCCTGGGCAATCCTTCCAAGCTCTTTCCAGTTCTTATTCATCTTTTTCATATCTGCTTCTATTTCCCGACGCAATGTGTTCTTTGGCCTTCCTCTTTTCCGCTTCCCTTCAGGATTCCAAGTTAGCGCTTGTCTCGTGATGCAGTTTGATGATTCGCGTCATGTACTTCCTATCCATTTCCATCGTGTTTTGCTAATTTCCTCTTCAGATAGAAGCTGGTTTGTTCTCGCCCACAGAAGGCTGTTTCTGATGGTATTCGGTCAATGGATGTTGAGTATCATGCGTAGACAGCTGTTCACAAATACCTGTACCTTCTTGATGGTGGTTGTTGTAGTTCTCCTAGTTTCATCTCCGTGCAGTAGAACTGCCTTGACGTTGGTATTGAAGATGGTGACTTTGATATTGTTTGAAAGTTGTTTTGAGTTCCATATATTCTTCAGTTGAAGGAATGCTGTCCTTGCTTTGCCAATCCTCGCCTTTACGTCTGCATCTGAACCTCCTTGTTTATCGACGATGCTTCCCAGGTATGTGAAGGATTCCACGTCTTCCAGAGTTTCGCCATCAAGAGTGATTGGATTGCTGTTCTCCGTGTTGTGTTGAAGACTTTTCCCGGTATTGACAGTAGTGTAATGCCTCTGTAGTTTTCACACTTGCTCAGATTTCTTTTCTTTGGAATCTTGATGAGGTGTCCTTCTTTCCAATCCATCGGCACTTGTTCCTCCTCCCAAATCTTCTTGAATAGAAGATGAAGCATGCTTGTAGTTACTTCGATGTCTGACTTCAACGCTTCAGCTGGTATATTGTCAGGTCCTGCTGCTTTCCCGCTCTTGATTTGTCTGACGGCCATTCTGATTTCTTCTGTCGTTGGTGGATTGACATTTATGGGAAGATCTGTGTGTGCTGCTTCGATGTCCGGTGGATTCATTGGAGCTGGCCTGTTCAGGAGTTCCTCGAAGTACTCTGCCCATCTGTTCCGCTGTTGTTGAATCTCAGTGATTGGTCTTCCTTCTTTGTCTTTGACTGGTCTCTCTGGTTTACTGTATTTCCCTGCAAGCTTCTTCGTCGTATCGTAAAGCTGTCTCATATTTCCTTCTCTTGCAGCTTTTTCCGCCGTCGTTGCTAGTTCTTCCACGTATTTTTGCTTATCATCTCTAATGCTCTTCTTCACTTTCTTGTTTGCTTCTATGTACCCAGCTTGTGCTTGGACTTTCTCTGCTCTTGTTCGACTGTTGTTAATTGCTGTCTTCTTGTTCCTTCTTTCTTTGATCCTGTCCAGTGTTTCTGTAGAGATCCATTCCTTGTGATGATGCTTCTTGGGGCCCAGAACCTCATCACACGTTGAAGTTAATGTTTCTTTGATGCCTTTCCAGCTATCCTCCATAGTAGTTTCTTCTTCCTTCAGTAGATCCTGTAAGGCTTGGAACCTGTTGTTGAGAGCTACCTTGAATTCATTGAGTTTGTCAGTATCTCGAAGGAAGGCTGTATTGAACCTTTGTGGTGCTGTTTGTCCAGTTGTCCAGTTCTTCTTTAGCTTCAGTTTCAATTTGGCCACAACCAGGTGGTGATCTGAAGCTATATCCGCCCCTCTCCTGATTCTCACATCTTCCATTGTCCTTCGGAACTTTTTATTGATGCAAATGTGATCTATCTGGTTCTCTGTGGTGTGGTCCGGTGAGATCCACGTAGCTTTGTGTATACGTTTGTGTGGAAATGTTGTACCGCCTATGACCAATTTATTGAATGCACACAGATTTGCAAATCTTTCCCCGTTTTCGTTTCTCTCTCCCAGTCCATGTAGTCCCATGATGTCTTCATATCCGGTGTTGTCCATTCAGACTTTGGCGTTTAGATATCCCATCAGAATGGTGAGGTCCTTTCTTGGACACTTCTCTATGATTGATTGCAGCCTCTCATAGAATTGATCTTTAACGTCGTCGTTGCTATCATTGGTGGGTGCATAACATTGGATAATGTTCATTGTGATCCCCTCCTTCTTTGTTTTGAATGATGCTTTGATGATTCTGGATCCGTAAGATCCCCATCCTACAAGTGCATTTCGTGCTAATTTGGATAGCATTAGAGCAACTCCCTGAGTGTGTGGAGCATTTTCCTCTTCGTGACCGGAGTATAGCAGCATCTCTCCCGTATTTAGCCTTTGTTGTCCAGCTTGGGTCCAATGGGTTTCACTGATTCCCAGTACTGCCAAGTTGTATCTCCTCATTTCCGTTGCTATTTGACTGGTCTTCCCGTTCTCCCACATTGTCCGGACGTTCCATGTACCTATAAAAATTGTTGCTCTGGTTGTTAGAAGGGGCATCGGCCTCGTGGCTTCCGAAGGAACTCGGCTTTCACCATGAAGCGTCATATTACCTCTAACTCCCAGGGCATAGTTTAAATGGTTTGAGTTATTTTTTCTGGTTAGCGTTTTTTTAGCGAGTTAGGTTTCTACGGGATGGGGACGCTAACCCCATGCCCAACCCTCCTCCTTTACCCGGGCTTGGGACCGGCAGTAACTCTGGAAGAGCTACAGGCGGAGTTAACCATGTAAGTGGTTGACAATTTTTGAATGGCCTTCTGTATGGCTTACCTGCATTCGGCTACTTGAAGAAACACATCAAATTATACACTGATTTATACATTTAAACAGTAATTTTATAAATGAATAAACGGCTATACGTTAGAATCAAATATAAATTTCACGCGTCCTGTTAGACGTTTCACGATAACAATTCAGTTTGTTCTTTTTCGAAAAGATAGTGAACACATCAGTAAGGAATTATGTCATGTGTGTTTTTATTAAAATACGATTCATTAATAATCGTGCAGACGTAAATTTTTTTCGAAAAGTGGTTTTTAAAAAAATCAGATGACCGGGCCTTCTATCTCGTAAATGCAGATGAAGACTGTCAGTGTAGCATCAACTTCTATATCAGTAGGTCTCAACATATACAAGGGAAAAAGCAAGATGATGAAATACAACACAGAGAACACCAACCCAATCACACTTGATGGATAAGCTCTGGAAGAGGTGGAATCTTTCACATATCTGGTCAGCAGCATCATCGATGTACATGGAGGATCTGATGCAGATGTAAACATGAGGATTAGCAGAGCGAGGACAGCATTCCTACAGTTGAAGAACATATGGAACTAGAAACAACCATCAGCCAATATTAATGTCAGAAACTTCAATACTAATACCAAGATAGTTCTATTGTACGGAGCTGAAACTTGATGAACCACTACAACCATCATTAATAAATTACAGGTATTTGTAAACAATTGTCTACGTAAGATACTCATTGTTCTTTGACTGGATAGCATCAGCAACAAGCAACTGTGGGATAGAACAAACCAGGTCCCAGCTGAAGAGGGAATTAGTTAAAGACGTTGGAAATGGATAGGACACATATTGAGGAAATTGTCAAACTATATCACGAGGCAAGTGCTAATTTGGAATCGTGAAGGGAAATGGAAGAGAGGAAGACCAAAGAATACACTGTATCAAGAATCGGAAGCAAACGTCAAAAGGATGATTAGCAACTGGAAATAACTGAAAAGGATTGTCCACAACAGAGTTGGATGGAGAATCCTGGTTGGCGACCTATGCTCCTCCACGAGAGGTAACAAGAGTAAGTAAGTACATGAATAAGTAAGTTAATCTCATTTGCAATTGTTTAAAATGAATTTGGTAATCTTAAAATTATGGTTATATTCTGAACTTCAATTTATTCGACATATGATTTTTATATAGAAAAGCAGTTCAATGAACCATCTTTTTGTAGCTCTTGTCGAATTACCTCACTTTATTTTTGATTTGCAGTTACTATGTCGCAGATTAAAATATACACAAGGCAAGTTGTTTTCATAGGTACTTTCAAATTATTATCTTAAAAATCCATTATCTCCAAATGTTTTCACTTTTTTATTAGTTTAACTGTCAAATCTATCTAAGCGTCTGAATCACCCAATTATGATACACGCGAAATCGAAATTCACAGAACAACGAGTTGTCTAAAAATAAGCGATGTTTTATTGAATAATATACATAAATTAGTGACAAACCTCAATTTCTGAAGTATCTGTGAAGTTTACCGGATCTGTAAGTCCGAAAAAAAGGATTTCTGCAATAGTAACATAAAGAATACTTGCAACATGCGATAGTGCAAATGACAGCTGTTAGCTGTGTCTAAACTTGATAACAGGTTAGCAACAAGCAGAAACTGAACCAAGAGCAAACAATATGGAAACTGTTGCGTTTAAACAATGATTACACAAAATTGCAAATAACTGCCACAAGGATTGAGAGAAAGTAATTTTAATGATAAATAGAATACATGTTATAAGCATATGTAAATATTTTAGAATATTACATGATAAACTTGCGTTACAACATACGCGTAGTTGTTGTGAAAACAACTGTCTACTCAATATTAATAAGTAGTATAAAACAATGCACAAAAGAGCCGATGGGAATTGAACAAGAATAGGGAACGTAAAACCAACTTAACACTAACTTGAATGAACATTAATAAACTGATTAAATACTAATCATTTCGTTCAAATATTACATACGTGCTTCAGTAATGCGTAGGTGGTTTTAAAGAGAACATTTCATCTCATAAGTTAGCTACAGCAATAAATTGTTAACAACCTAGATTGGTATTATACTGTATGGATATTTGTAAATGATAATTTCCGGCCTTGAAAAATATTCATAATCTGGAGATTGATTTTTATCATATAACGAATTCATCTGGAATGGTGGTTTATGCAAGTGAACATTGGATAGTATTTTCTGCCTAGTTTAAAAACCCTTAAAAGATTACATTTAAGCTCCTGAGACTTAATTGTTGTCATGATCAATGATTTGGATTTATTCAATTTGAAATATATTGCAATAATCATCCTTATCCCATAGGTGAATGATTTACTCGTTGCTAATATTTCACCAATCTCACCAGAATCTCATCTACTTTGAAAAACGTCATAAGTAATAAGACAATTATTGTTTTATTGTGAATATTTCGTCAAGTTAACAATGTTTTTATATCATATATCATCACCAATCAGAATGATATAATCAGATCAAAAGTTCCATATTAGGACAGATTAGATGTTCGGTGACTTAAGTATTTCTATGTTTCTTCAATCTAAAAAGAAATTAACTTTGAATTATACAAATCTCTTTAAATCAAATATTCAAAAATTCATAGTTGTCGCAATAACTTGTGGGGCCCGTTATTTTGTCATCATTTAGATCGGACAATGTTCGTCGAAGGGCTCTTCCCTTTAGTGGTCCATGGATCTGACTCCAAATAGATCGTATGAATGATTGCTGTCGAAATATATATGTCGCCTATCCTCGTATATAATCATCGACTTAAATCGCGTTAGTCAATAACAGAACTAAATAAGTCAAATAACGAGAATGCACTTATGAGTAGAGAGAAGCGAAACAACGCGTGGTGGAGATGGTGGGTAAGCCAACACCCATTCAACCGAACGTTATTCAATATTTATAGTTACACAAAAGTAAATTACAGATATGTGATAAGTAATGGGATAAGAAGTGTACACACACCTACGCGCTCATATTAAAACAGTCATGATTGATAAGCGAATAATTAACAAGGTCAAAAAGTGACTCAAGTAAAATGAATAGATTGGGTTGTCCGAAAGCAAGAATAAGGTATATTAGGTTTGACATAATTACCGACACTACAAACTAACAAAATTTCATGTTTAAATTACACCATTTCCAAGTTCACATCAGAAATTATTTTTGATAATTTATTTCAATTAGTAGTCAATAAAGCACAAACAAATCCTACATCTTAATTAACTACAAATTACATTTAATGATGTTTAGCTTATCTACATATAGTCTCTACATATTACAATTTTTCTTTCTAATATTGATTTGTTTCATGTTACCAGAAATATACAATTATTTATCGTTGTCATAATCAATTCATATTGAAAAAATTTTTCAAATAACAAACGTCTAAAACAAGTTTAAATTTTCAAAAAAATAAAAAGCTTTTCGATTTTACTTTGTATTTTTGTTTTTCTTTAATATTTCAGTTGGTCACGTGAAAATGCCTAATAAAGCATTATTTTGGCCACAGATACAATATAAATATACATTATCTCAATCAATAGATTTTATTTCATCGAATTCATCACTGGAAAATTTCAATCCACAACAAATATTTGGATCATTTTACACTAAGTATGATGCCACGAAAATAAATAGTTACACTGTATCAAATAATAGTTTGAGATATATAATTGATAAGAAAAATAACACTATCAATTATACTACACCAATTATATGGTCACCATTAGGTTGTTTACCTAGTCTATCATCAGCTATAATTATTCCCTATCGTAAAAGAGAACAACATTTACGAGTAATAACAGATCATTTACATGGATTTTTACGACATCAAAGAATACCATATACCATTTTTATTATTGAACAGGTAAGTGGTAAATACTTAGATACTATATTTCATGGGATCTGTCTTTTGAGTTTTGTCTAATACAAAAAAGGCGTCTATAATTGATTGATCACTGGACGGTAATCAGTGTCATGCGTGTCTAGTCCTTATTAGTGCAGATCGAATGCTATCGACCATGTTGCAATGTGGCCACCAGTCTAGGTGACTCGACACTGAGTGCACTATTGTAAGATTAGATGGTGGTTGGAGGTCGAATCCTTCAGGCAGCACCAGTTCTCTCAAGATTACATGTACACCTTGCTGACGGGTGCCAAGTAGCACAAAACCCGGGTCCAGGGTTTCGTGTTGACTACCTTCAACCACCATCTAAAGGCGTCCATATTATTTATGTTATCATTGTCAAAGTATTTCAAAGTCTAAACAAGTACTTTTGAAAGGATTCCAAATGAAGCAAATTCGATCTAAAAAAATAATCAATGCACAAGCTTATGACTTTGGATTATTTGTATCAAGCTTCTAAATGCTACATATGACCTTACAAATTATAGTGTCGGCTGCTATGTTAAGCCCACATAGTTTATTCTAGCTTCTGGACAGGCCAATTTATTCATTCATCATGAGTCATATTTTGACCCCGTTAATTATTCGCTTATTAATTCTAACTGTTTTTATATGATCGTATATGTGTTGATTGTTTATCCCACTCATCAAATGTCTGTAGTTTATTTTTTTCTGACAATAAATATTGATTAACAGTTTGTTAAATTGAGTTGGCTCACATGCTTTCTCCAATCTGTTTCATTCTCCGTTCTTTATTTCGTCTCCTTGATTGTCTGTTCAAATCACTGAGTACATGAAATATACATATTCAAAATCCATTCCTGTATTTTACTTATTTAATTCCATTATTCAGTAATGCGAGTTAAGTCGATAATGATAGACGAGGATTGGCCATATGTGTATTTCGATACCAATCATTTACATGATCTACCTGAAGTCAGCAGATTAAGAGCTATTAAAATAATCTACATATTATACAAAACTAAGTCAATAGTATATTTCACACACAATTGATTTGTCGTACAATATTTAAACAAAATAAGAATGATAATATTCATAAAATATAGTGAATTCAATATATTCCATTGCTTACTATTTAACTATATAAAGGTTTGTAGCGTGGTGTCGAGTTGAGCTGAACTATGAACACCGCTACCAGACTACTTGCCAATAGACCAATAAAATCCCGGTAGGCCAAAATATCAGAAGGCAGATGATTGTAGTAGTCGTATATATTTGTTGGCAATCTCGTGGTATCGAAAGAATACCGAGATCGTGCCAAAGGAGTACAGTTGTGATCGGCAAGATAAGATACGTGCGTAGTCAAAAGCCGCGTAGAAGCAATGGAATACAATGGAAGACTAGAATGGCTGTTATTAGCACAGTTAAACAAACGAGCACAGTAAAACAGTCACTGGTACAATTGGTTATAATAATAATTGTTTTCATCGAACCAATCGCGTTCTGTTGACAAAAGTAGGTCACTACAGGTTAATATTATATAATTATTTATAATCACTAACGAAATGTTCAGTCTGATGAATGAATTGTCTAAATGTAAAAAAAATAATTAAGAATAAAACTTTCACAATAGGTTTTTCATCATTATTTAAAGTGATAGTTCTACAATAATTAAGACAGTATTTTGTCAAAACAAAAGAGATTTGTTCATGAAAGTGTACATCACTCAATTATGATTACAATCAGTTAAAAACAGGAAATAAGTATGTGACGAAATGTTTATTTTGATTCTGTTATTAAAACAGTTGTAAGTTAACCATTAACTTTTTTAATACAGAGGTCAGAATTAAATCAACTGATTACTATGACCTCCATGAATTTTAATACAATACATTAATTTCGTCAACGTTATACTCCGTGTCTTGAAGGTGATGTGTTATCTAACTAAGAAGACTGTTTTGTCCTTGAAGGATAAGATTACCAGGAATATGTGTTCAGTAAGACGAGTTGAGCCCTGCCTTTATGTTCATCTGAGGTGTATGCTTTTGTATGAGCATACATGTTGTATTCATTTAAATGTGGCAGATATTCGATACTTGTCCTCTTTTGTTTGCATTACTGAGTATCATGTTGTATACAATGGAACTGGTTTCTCAGAGGAAAATATGATTTGTGATTCTGTTCTAAGTCTGATTAATTTTATTCATGATTTGATAACCTTTGAACGTCAGACGAACAAAAGCCTGTTTCTTTTTGGAGTAAAATGTTGGAACGTTTAAATCCTAATCTTTCCGCATTTAAAATAATCCATTCATTATTGACAATTCATTTATCATATTGAACATTCTGTTAATGATTATAAATAATTAGATAATATTAACATATATGTAATTAAACAGAAAGCAATGGAATACATTGAATTCACTGTATTCTGGAAATATTATCGTTCTTACAGAGTGCAAATATATTTCATTGTATAATTCTTTTTCTAAATTTTAGTTAAATCACTACAGTTAAATGAACTTGATTACTATATAACGTACGAGCTACTTCCGTTGCTAGACATGAGACTAGTTTTCTTTCAAAAGTTGAGAAAAGTATTTAATCACCAATCGGTTTAGATATTGAATAGGTTGGAAGAAAGCTAGGGGTGTACAGAACAAGCTGTGAAACGCATATGGAGAAATTTGAACACTTTACTTCTATCTGAAGTTTGTGCTGATGATGTCGTTCAGAAGAACGATGAGAGCCCCACGACCAAACCATCCAGCTCAGAGAACAAAACTCCATCAAAATTACTGCTTATATATTACTACCTCTACCACTATGGGATTTGAGTCGACAATGGTATCTGTGTGCTAATGTGGTATGGCAACTCAAACTGATGTACGTACGTACGAAGTTCTACGTTGTTACTGACTGACTGACTTAGACATTGATAAAATATATCAGTAAGTCTATGGCAAATGATTTATCGACTCAGAATGTCTATGTCCTGTTTCTAAAATATGCTGGGACTCATAGTTTATCTGATCACAAGTGTCTAGATTATGTCATTTTCTAAACAGCTTTTCAAAAGCCACATTACAATTCCTTTGTCTGTTAGTTACTAACAATCTTTAAATTAAACACATACATATTATTGACTTTTCAGATCGGTGAAAGGAAATTTAATCGTGGTGCTTTATTAAATGCTGGGTTTCTTGAAGTTTCCAAATTCAAAGAATATGACTGTTTCATTTTACATGATGTAGACAAACTACCAGAAGATGATCGAATTATTTATACATGTGGACCAAATCCGACACATTTGTCAGCTTCATTAAGTACTTTTAACTACGAGTTAGTTCTATTTTGAATAATTTTTTTCAATATTCTGTTGTAAGAACATGTGCGAAATTAAGAAAAATACTGATGCATGCGTTTCAGATGGTTGAAGATAATTAGCAGAAATCATTGGTTCTAGGTTGTATTCACTCGAAACTGCATTGATAATTATAGTCAAGTTCGCCTATTCTGACGGCTAAATCGATCTACAATGCCTGGAACACTTGTTGTTTGACGTTCCACTATGTCAGACAGGTTATTTGTATAATAGTAAAACTAAAAGCACCAAATAAAAGTTCTGATTAACTTCAGTTATCATTAAAGTTTTAGATGTGATGAATGCAATGTCAAATCAGTTAGAAACGTTGCTACACTGCAAGTTGATGGATGATATGCAGTTAGACCTTCGGCTTATACAAATATTGAATTTTCTAAAACTGATTGATCAATCAGGATGTACGCTGCACTCATCTACGCAACCTACAGAATCTAATTTCTGGCATACTATTAGCTGATGTTCACTGTTCACGTTTACAGTTAACTAAATATATTTACTCTTGTTACTCAATTAATCCCTTGTCCATATTTTCATTTATACCCGACTTGTCGCTTTTAAACAATGGAACTTTTATTCAGCTCAACGTGATGTAAGGAAGCTCAGAAATATATAATGAATACCATTTGCGTGTTTCCTAGTTAAAGTCAACAGTGGTTGTTTTACAATAAAAGATTAATTAGTTGTATAGTTTACTTTGCCGGTTTTGAGGACACAATTTACTGATCATCTTCAACATAAAGCCTGACAGATATGTGCATCAGTTCAATGTGACATAGCAATTTAGCACAGCGAGGTAAATTATCAAGACAAGTCTACGTGTATCAGAAGTAGTAATAGTATCAGTAATAATAGAAAAGGTTCATAAAAAAGAATCATATAAAATATGACTTGAGATTTTGGGACTCCGGTTCCAAAGAAAGCCACGCATAAAAGCTCAAATGTGTATATAATTTATTCTTAAAGGAAGGAATTCATGCTGTTTTCTTAAAGTGTTTTAAGCATCTCATATAAAATTACTGGTAAATCATGTAGTGATTTAACAACAACACATTCAATCAAAGCATTTACTACTGACTTTCACGTTATTTTATCAGTATATTCTCTCAATAAAGCTATAAATTCAGTTCATCAGCTCTGGTAATATTGCTAAAGCAACATATATTATTGCCATTTAGGTACAATTTATGCTAAGAACATAGTTCTGTTATACATATAGAAAGCTGCTTCTTTTTTCTTACATGCACTTTACATTTCCCATTCCTTCACATTCTCATTGTTCTTGTGTAGCTCATATGTATTTGGTGCCCCTCTGTACCAATATTTATATGTTCAAATAAGTGAATAAATAAAATGAATTTGATTGTAAGGATTTGAATCAACATCACGATCCAGTTATACACTGTTGATGAGATTCAAATGGGATGAAAATCACTTCCTGTATTTCACTGATATTCATGCTCCAAATTTACTAAGACTTCTTTATGTTACCTCACTAAAAAACTATAATTCTTGTCTGAACAATTGCTTTTCATTTTGACTAATCTTCATTCATGTGCTTTATATCATTAAATTATGTAATGAAGGTATTCAACAGTATCCCGTTCTCCACATCAATCGAGAAAGAAATCGACCAGCAAGACTAATAAGTCAATATGTCTCACTATATTCCTCAGTTGAAAGAAATTGACACATAATAAACATGATGACAGTCATTTAAATGTTTATTCAGGGACTACCTGTATAATTTGAAAAAAAAATCTGTATCAGTGTCAGTTTGTAAAACTGATCTGACATGACAACTGGATTGTTCAGATGGTTGTATTAGTTCTTCAAATGTTAGCTCCACACAATAGAACTGACTTGACGTATGTATTAAAGTGAGACTTCGCTGGTGGCTGACAGTTGTTTGAGTTGCACATGTTCTTCAATTGTAGAGATGCTCTCCTCGCTTTGCTAATCCTCACCTTTACATCTGCATCAGATCCTTCTTGTACATCGATGATGCTGCTGACCAGATGTGTAAACGTTTCCACCTCTTCCAGAGCTCATCCATCAAGTGTGATTGGGTTAGTGTTCTCAGTGTGGTATTTGAGGATCTTGCATTTTCCCTTGTGTATGCTGAGGCCTACTGCTATAGAGGTTGGTGCTACACTGGTAATCTTCACCTGTAGTTCTTGGTGTGTTTGGGATAGAAAAGTTGGATCATTTGTCAAGTCCAAATCATCTAGTTTCACCCAAGCTGATCATTGTATTCCGTGCTTCACCTGAAATGTGGAGGTCTTCATAATTCAATCGACCAACAGAAGAAAAAGAAAGGGAGAGTGTAGACAGCTTTGTCTGACACCGGTCCTCATTTGCAATGCATCTGTCAGCTGTCCTCCATGCACGACTACACAGTGTAGTCTGTTGCACGAATTCCGTATGATATCTACAATATTCTCAGATACATCACAGTGTCGAATAAGGGTCCATAAAATTCTATTATGCACACTTATGGTGCACATGGGCTCCAGTATCCTGCGGGGACAAATGGCGTATGAACCAACTTTTGGTCACCGGCTTCCATGGGACTGCATCTCCTTACGATGCTCCACTGCCTTGTGGACTAGACCTTTAGGTCAAAGGCTCGGGGTGTGGCCCCCTCAGAAAACCACCTGCTTCGGTCTGGGCACCCGGGCAGTATCCCAGCCCACTCATTAAAACTATGATGAACAATTTGCTTATGGAAAATATTCCTTTCTATCTGATTAACATTGAAATAACTCGTACTATTACTATTATTATTGTTGTTATTATTATTATTATTATTATTATTGTTATTATTATTATTATTATTATTATTATTATTATTATTATCATTATTATTATTATTATTATTACTCTACCACGTCATTTATTCACCCTCTCTTATTCCTACTTTATATATGCGTTTCGACCTAGACAGCAGCTCACCTATGGTGAAAATTCAGCTTTATCTAAACGTTCCCGAGTCACTGCCTGGTTGAAAATTGTATGTTACCACCGAATACGAATACTGAAGCAGTTTTTCTGAAACCACGTGCACCATTCAAACTGGCTACCTTCAACGTTCGCACACTTATGCAGGTCGGACAACAGATAGGACTGGCTATGTCTTTGGAAAGTCTTAATATTGATGTGTGTTGTCTATCCGAGACCCGTATTCAAGACTCTGGTGAAGTACTACAAGTTCGCCCTCCATCTGTCACTTCAAAAAGCTTGTTTTATGTGCGTTTATCCGGGGACCCTGTGGCATCTTCGTCTGGTCTCGCTGGCGTTGGTGTCGCACTAAGCGCAAGAGCTGAGGCAGCACTAGTCGACTGGATCCCCATTAACAGTCGGTTATGTGCTGTTAGATTAGAAAGTTCCATCAAAGTGAGAAGAAATCGGCGTGAGAAACGATGTCTTTTCGTCATCTCCGCCTATGCCCCGACAGGTTGCAGCCCGGATGCAATCAAGGACGAGTTCTTCCACCAGCTAACTGTTCTTCTCCAGAAAGTGCGTTCGACAGATATTGTAGTACTAGCTGGAGACTTGAATGCTCAGGTCGGGCGTCTAGGCACAGAAGAGAGTCGTTTAGGTGGCCGATGGGGACTCGTTGGTCGCAGGACAGATAACGGGGAACGTCTACTGCAACTATGCACAGACCACAACCTGTTTCTGGCTAGCACTAACTTTCGGCACAGTCATCGCCGATGTGCCACCTGGCGTCCTCCTTCTGCATCTCAAGCCTGGACTCAGATTGATCACATCGCGATCAACTATAGCTGGCGTGGTTGCGTACAAGACTGCCGCTCCTTTTGGAGTACCTATCTGGAATCTGATCATGCTCTGGTCTGCGCCAATCTTACCTTACTTTTCAGTGGCCAACGAAGTGACCGCCACCAAAGGATTGATGTTAGCAAGCTGGCTGCAACTTCTGTTGCTAGTAAGTACCGAACCTAGCTAGCTTCTAGGCTAGCTACCATTCCACCGAAAAGTATAGATGAGCATTGGTTGCAATTGCATGACGCCATGAAAATGGCGGGTACAGTCTGTTGTGGGTTTGCGAAACGTCCCGCTTACAAGCACTGGGTTTCTTCTGGTACCTTACAACTGATTGAAGCCCGTCGGTCTACTCCGGGTGACCGTGAGTTTGACCACAGACGAAGGATGTTACGTAATGAAGTCGGGCAAAGTTTGCGTAAGGACCGAGAAGTCTGGTGGTCGGAGCGTGCCAGTGAGTTGGAAGCAGCAGCTGCATCTGGAAATTACCGGAAGCTCTTCCAACTCATCCGAGCCACTGGCAGCAAGAAGTTTGGTGTGAGCGAAACAATCTGCGAGGATGACGGAACGCCAATCACTAACATCCATCGACGTCTTGGACGATGGGCAGAATTCTTCGAAGGGCAGTTCAACTGGCCTGCTGCTCCGGTAACATCGGTCAGACTGTCCTGCCCTCCATGGCCGGTGACGACTGATCCACCAAATGAGGCGGAAGTCCGCAAGGAACTCCACCTCTTGAAACGTTACAAATCACCGGGCCCAGACGACTTACCTCCGGCTCTTTTTAAAGATGGCGGTGACTTTCTGACTAAGGGACTGACGACGTTGTTTACAAAGGTCTGGGACTTAGAGAGTGTACCAACATCATGGAATGAGTCGATAGTTGTCCCTATCTTTAGAAAGGGTTCACGTCGTTCCTGTAACAACTATCGGGGGATAAGTCTACTTCCGATTGCGTCCAAGCTATTGGCTTCCGTCATACTTCGTAGGTTGTTCAGGACCCGAGAGATATTGACTCGCGAGGAGCAGGCTGGGTTTCGTTCTGGTCGAGGATGTATTGATCATATCTTCACCCTCCGCCAAGTGTTAGAACACCGCCATACTTATCAAAGGCCAACAATCGTAGTGTTTCTTGATATCAGGGCTGCCTTCGATTCGTTGGACAGAACTGTTCTCTGGGATTGTCTATTGAAGAAGGGTGTGCCTGAGAAGTTTATTAACATCCTAAAAGCCCTATACACAAACACCTCAGGCAGAGTGAGGGCATACAACCACCTTTCTCCACTATTCCATTCGAGCAGTGGGGTTAGGCAGAGTTGCCCAATCTCACCATTCCTCTTCAACTTTGCCATCGATGACATTCTGGAAACAGCTCTGATGGATGTAAGTAATGGTGGTGTGGATCTGTTGCCTGGAGAAAGACTTCTCGACCTTGAGTATGCGGATGATATTGTCTTACTGTGCGAGAATGCCCAAGCTATGCAATCCGCACTTAATCAGTTGGCAATCAATGTCCGTAGGTATGGTATGTGCTTTGCACCTTCGAAGTGCAAAGTACTTCTACAAGACTGGCAGGATTCTAATCCTGTACTCACTCTGGATGGTGAGCAGATTGAAGTAGTCGAGAAGTTCGTGTATCTAAGTAGCTGCATAAGTGCTGGTGGTGGTGTGAGTGATGAGATCAATGCACGTATAGTGAAAGCCAGAGCGGCTTATGCCAATCTGGGCCACCTTTGGCGCCTTCGTGATGTTAGTCTGGTTGTAAAAGGTCGGATCTACAACGCGACGGTGAGAGCAGTTTTGCTCTATGCTTGTGAAACCTGGCCTCTCCGAGTTGAGGATGTTAGACGACTCTCTGTGTTCGATCATCGCTGTCTCCGAAGGATTGCTGGCATCCAGTGGCAACACCATGTCAGTAATGCAGAGGTTCGGCATCGAGTGTTCGGTCACAGAGACGATAATGAAATTGGTGTCACCATCTTGAAACACCGACTTCGGTGGGTTGGACATGTTCTACGAATGTCGTCCCAGAGAATTCCACGTCGTGCATTATTTGCCGACTCTGGGACTGGTTGGAAAAAGCGGAGAGGTGGTCAGTATATGACATGGTGTCGTGGTATGAAAGAAAGCTGCAAAGGGCTAGCTTCTGTTGGTCCTTCACGACTCCCTGGTTGGGGTCCGAGAGACGGTGTAACGCAGTGGCTAGAGACGTTATCAGATATGGCTCAGAATAGAAGCCAGTGGCGATCGTGCTGTAACCTTCTTTTACTTTCTTCATAAAAAGTGTTTATATCTTCCTTAACTGAAAGATCTCTTCTGATTGTACCTTTCTGTTTCCCCCACCATTGTTCTCTCTCTCTCTCCCTTTTTTTTTATAATTCCCCACGTTCATTAATTTTTTTTCTCTTTTCTCCTTCTCTTCAAATTATCATTGTTTTGTGTGGCGCATATATATTTGGTGCCCCTCTGTACCAATATTTATGTGTTCAAATAAATAAATAAATAAATAATATTATGCACACTGTCAAACGCTTTCTCGTAGTCAAGGGAGTCGATGTATAGTGACGAGCTCCATTCAATTGATTGTTCAACGATAATCCGTTGTGTTGTGATTTGGTCTGTACACGATTGATCCTTTTGGAATCCGCCCTGTTGATCTCGAATTTGAGAGTCTACTAAGTCTTTCATTCACTTCAACAACACCCTGTTGGAAACTTTTCCTTATACCAATAATGGTGTGATGCTTGTGTACCTCTCACACTTTCTATGATCTCCTTTCTTTGGTATAATAATATGCCAGTTATCCTTCTTTCCAGTGTGTCAGTTCTTCGTGTTCCTCCCACATCTTCTTCATTAGAAATTGAAGCATATTTTCATTTACTCATGTATCTGACTTCAGTGATTTAACTGGCATGTTATTTGATCCTGTTGCTTTTCCACGCTTGATCTGTCTGATGATCATCTTGATTCATTCGATCCTTGGTGGAATAAAATCTATAAGAAGGTTCGTTTGCTCTGCTTCGACGTTCAATGGGTTCAGTAGTGCTGATCTTTTTAAGAGTTCTTCAAATTGCTCTACTCACCTGTCCAGTTGTTTTTCAATCTTTGTCTTTTACTGATCTTTTCGGTCTACCATATTTTCCTACCAGTTTGTTTTTTGTGTCACATATTTATTCCATATTTCCTTATCTTACAGTATTTTCCTCTGTCGTTGCTAGCTCTTGTACGTACTTTTATATGTCAGTTCTAATGCTCCTCTTCACTCGCTTGTGTGTGCATCTCTCACGAATCTAATCTATTCTACCAGTTTGTGTCCAATGCGTTTCACTTATTTTGAGAATCGTTAAGTTGTATCTAATCATTTTTACAGCTATTTGACCAGCCCACCCACCCCCACTCTAGTCTTCAACATTGTCCGGACATTCCATTTACCGATGTTAATCGTTACTTTGTTTGTTAGAAAGATCAACAGCCTTGTGATTTCCAAAGAATCTCGACTTTCACCATAAGCCGTTATAATTCTTGTAAGTGAAGATCTTTCAACTTCCAGGTCAGAGTTTGGATTGTATGAATTGCTTTCTCTGGTTAGAGGTTTTTTTGTTAGGGTTGTTTTCTACGATGTAGAGTTGCTGATCACAAGACTAACCCTTCTTGCTTATCCATGCTTAAAACTATAGCAATAACCCTAGGTTGAGCTACAGGATGAGGTTTATGCAAAAATTTATAGATGGATGTTAATTTCATTGTTAAAATAAATAAAATCTAACTTATAAAATGTAAATTTACTATTTTTATCTCAAGTTTACATTTTTATCATAGAAATATTTGTGTCGCTCAATTTCGTGGATTAGTTGAAGTTAGACATTAACACCGTTGGATGCAGGTCGGCTCAGTGGTCTAGTGGTTAAGTGCTCGCGCGCGAAACCAGTCGGTCCTAGGTTCGAATCTCGTAGGGGGAGTGGTCGTGGATGCGCACTGCTGAGGGATCCCACAATTAAACGAAACGGCCGTCCAGTACTTCCAGGTTTTCCATGGTGGTCTGGCTTCAACCATCGAAATTACTATAATATCCGTAAAACCCATATGATATAGAAATATTTTTGTTTTATAATTAAAAATTTAATTATTTACTTTTTTTTTATATCTACAGATTAATTTATCAAAGATTTTTTGGTGGTGTTGTTACATTCACTCGTGATCAATATCTTAAGATTAATGGTTTTTCAAATTTATATGAAGGATGGGGTGGTGAAGATGATGATCTTTTATTACGTGTTGAACAGTCTGGTTATAATTTAAGCCGAATCAATTTATTGATTGGTCGTTATTATGCAATGAGTCATAAAACAGATCAATTAAATGAAAGGAATCCAGATCGGTATGTTGTTAGTAAATTTTATTTTTGTGCATGTATATGTGTATACATGATCGTTTTTTTCTTTTTGCTGACAATGTCATGTTCTCTGAGTCATGTAGTTAAAATAGGCAATAAAATATTTTTCATAGGAAATAATAATTGTGTGATAGTTGAAATCGTAAGAAAACACCGAATGTAATGTAATAAATTGAATTTATCATTATCATGAATATTCATTAGATGCTTTGCTAACTGTCATTCATCAACAAGTTTAATCGTAACCAAGTACTCATTGAGATCATGAACCGATTGATGTTAGACCATCATTAAAAACGTGGAAGCATTGAACAGCCGTTTCATTCTAGTGTGAGACTCCTCAACAGTGTTCATCCACGATCCCGCTCGCGTGATGCGTACCCATGGCCTTCAGTCTCGCGCGCGAACACTTAACCTACTGGATCACTGAGCCGGCATTCAATGGTGTTAATGTCTAACCTCAACTAATCCACGAAGTTGCGCGACCATCGTCCATTATACTGAGGTAGACACCTGTTTCTACCCAACACGGATTAGCTCCACTGGTCACGGCTGCTCACCAGAACTCCGAGAATTGTCTCACGAAGCTAGTCACTAGTGAGCACATGGTAATTATCGGTATGGGGATTGTGAAGTTTTTGATTGAGATCATGAACCGATTGATGTTAGGCCGAAGGCCCTGGGTTCGAATCCCGCGAGCGGGATCGTGGGTGCACACTGCTGGGGAGTCCCACAATAGGACGAAACGGCCGTCCAGTGCTTCCAGGTTTTCAATAGTGCTCTAACATCAATCGGTTCATGATCCTAATAAAAAAATTAACAATTTCCACATCCCCTAAACTGATCATAACCAATTATGTTTAATATTATCATTAGTTTATTGTAAGAGATAATTGTTTTTAGCCTAACATTTTTGGGATTAGTCTTTTATCTAAACTTCATAGAACCATTATATTTAGTTTGATATAGAGTCGATTCCTTTAGGTTACAAAAGCATCAGTTTCTTAAAACAATTATGTGACTCATATGATTTGTAATCAATCACAGTAGCACAGATACAATCCTTGCTTTTCTTCTCCTGAATGCTGCATAGTTTTTTACTCGATGTAAGTCTTCATCTCTTGAGTTAGATATTTAATGTTTATCTAATAGTATTATCATAGTTCATTGAATTACAATTTAACTTCATTGTGTTTAAAGCAATTAGTCCCTTTTATAAATTTCGATAATGTAATAAGAAGACGGAGATTATCAAAACTATGTGATATATTAGCGCAATACATTTCGAACAATCTGATCACACATATACTTGTTAAGAGCATTTATATATAAAAATAAAGGTCAACTAGATTGGAAATGAGGTAAGAGGAGATAATAATAATAATAATAATAATAATAATAATAATAATAATAATAATAATAATAATAATAATAATAATAATAATCTGAACACTATTCAAAACCTAATCACTCTGGATAATAAGTCAATATTACCAGGGTAGGTTTAAGGTAAGAACAAACTGTTTTTGAATACACAAAGGGGGTTTGAATTTTCGTATGGCTAAGGCTTCAATAAACCTTAGTATACGCCCTTGTACACTTTTATATAATACCACAAAAGTCGAGTTTAGATTAATCTTGTGCCCTGTTTCAATTATATGTTTAGCAATAGAGGATGATGGATGTTTATCTTCTGCTCTTATTGGGTCACTTGATTGTATTTGCTTTTGCAGCCATTTGGGTACATGTTCACTCACCCTAATGTTAAGATTACGATCAGATTGTTCGAAATGTATTGCGCTAATATATCACATAGTTCTGATAATCTCCGTCTTCTTATTACATTATCGAAATTAATTGTGTTTGTTTCCTAACTGCATCCATTTTTTGCTATGATTACGTATTAAATTACCTAAAGTATATACCTTATTCGATATCTTCCGTTTGGATTGATCCTACTTGGCATTAATCTATGTATTTCGAAACAGAAAAATACTTGTAAAATGAGAGACTAGAATGTTGTAGAGCCTAGTTTTAAAATTAAGGTCAACTATTATTGTGTTATATGATAAGTTGAGTAGCATGATTCTAAGATTTTTTTTCTTTTACCTTAATGATACATTTTTGGTTAATTATTCGAATTCCACTGGTTATACATGCAAAACTAATTAGTATTGTACAAATTGACTAAACGAATCGAAAAACTTGTTTAACTTGTTAAATTAAAAAAGCAGTGACTTTTTCAGTTCACTAATAAGGTTTCTCTGGTAAGTGACAATAACGCAGTTTTATATTTTAAATGAAGATTGGATACTTTTCAGGAATTAGTTATCAATGGTTACTGTAATAACTAAGATTTAAAGATTATGATTAGTTTAGCTCATCAGACTTATTATATATAGTTTTCAACCATTAAAACTTTAACATGGTAACTGCAGTAATCAACTTACGTTCTCTTTGTTTTTTTAACAAATTTCCCAATATTCAATGCATCTAGTTTCATGTTGTTGGAAACTTCACAGCGTCGATTTAAAAGTGATGGATTGAACAGTTTGAAGTATAATGTAACTCAATCGAAATCGATGTACAATGGTCTACTTTATTGGATTTCTATTGATATACATCCTAACAACCAGAAATAATTTGATGTAAAAGTAGGTTGTATGTAAGCTTTCATAAACATAATATTTCTTAATGTTTGGGAAAATTTTTATTATATCACATTTGAATCTCTATTGAATTGACAGCCTATTTCTTCATTTAAATTAATATATGGAAATCAAAAAAGAAAAACATTGGAAAGAAAATCAAATCTTTCTGTAAAAAATAAAGTGGTTGTAAGAATATGAATAAATTAGATATTTATTGATTGAAGTAAGAACAAACTGGAGGATATTTTAAAAAATACAACTGAGTTATTGACTATATCGTTGAATACGTGTTTTTCAGATGGCTTGTGTTTTTGCTAGTAGTAGTGAGAATTGTCATTCTGTATTCACATAAGAAACTATGAATATTAAAAAGCTAATTTAATTTATTTCTCAAGTTAAATATCATAGAAATACTTTATAAATAGATAGATATTTCTTGAGTATCACTAAATCGTAATATGTGTTCATTTGATGTCTGATTTAAAAAAAGTTAGTGTGATAAATACATACTTGTTTCCTTCATGTATTGCACAGATGTTCATACATATTTTAAGTGATTGGTTAACATAGAGTAGTATTGGTAGCACAGTAGCGAGTGAGACTTGGTAAGAAAAGCAGATTTACTGTTTAACACACAATTACATAGTTAACTAGCAAAAACATGAAAATCATTCATTAAATACATCATATGCAAATCTCCCATCAGTCGTCTCTTATAAAATTCATCGTTCATTCATTGCCGTTGTTATTCTGGTTGTTTTTAGTTTTCTCCTCTCTTCTTTTCATCTCAATTTCCTCAACCTTCTGCTCTCAGGCATTTCACTTCCGAATGTTGATACATACAACTTATTATCTGTCAGCATAAGTAACATACACCACAATGGTAGTAGTACATATATATATATATATATATATATATATATATATATATATATACTACTTTTCACTTATCAACATGGTGTGTCGGTTGTTTGAAGAAATTTTTGTACTCAATAAAATTTAGACGTGTTACACATTGTTACAGTCAGAAATGTTAATAATGAGTTATCTCTGTCACGACTGGCTTTCTTTAATACTGAGGTACGTCCAGTGGCCCTTATAACTAAGTATTAGTTTGTATGTAGTTCTTCATCCTGACCGGATTCTGTCGAGCAAGTTTACTAGATTAAAATCTCAGTTCATAGAAGGATTTAAAAACGTTTGGCCTTGCTGTTATACAATTCTGATATTGTTAAACGTTATAACTCTATTGTGTTAGAAAGACATAGTAAAGTGTTTACGAAAGAATTGGGGGAGTGCAAAGAGGAAAAAGCAGTACTGATTCTTAAACCGGGAGTCACCCCCGTCTTCAGACCAAGACGTCCTGTACCCTATACAGCTGAACGGAAGTATCCGGCTATGCGCAGATTATTTGACTGGATTAAACGAAGCGCTTGAAGCCCAACAATACCCTTTGCCGGTACCAGAAGATTTATCTGCGAAACTGAATGGGGGTTAGTATTTTGCGACATTAGACCTGTCAGAAGCTTATCTACAGATTCCAGTAGCGGAAGAATGTAAGCATTACTTGACAATAAACACTCATAAAGGATTGTTCCGATATAACAGACTTCCTTTTGGAGTAAAGACCGCCCCTTCTACCATCCAGCAAGTTATGGATACTTTGTTACAAGACATTCCTGCTACTGCGGCCTATCTCGATGACATACTGATCATGGGTACAGACTATACTGACTTAGAGAATAAGGTGGACACGGTGCTCAGATGCATGGCAGATTGTGGGTTCAGATTGCGTGCTGAAAAATGTGATTTTTACATGGAGCAAGTCCATTATTTGGGATTCATAATCGATAAAAACGGAAAAAAACCTGATCCTGAAAACGTCGAAGCTATCAAGTCCATGCCTCCACCGAGGGATGCATCAACTTTACGTTCTTTCTTGGGAATGGTTAGTCATTATGGCTTCTTTCTTCCAGATCTGCATTGCCTTCGTGCTCCTCTTAATTGCTTACTGAAAAAGGATACCAAATGGTTCTGGTCAACCGAATGCCAGGAAGCATGCCTAAAACCAAAGCAGCTCCTATCATCAGACCTTCTACTTACACATTATGACCCAGATCTTCCAATTATAGTCGCAACAGATGCGTCAAATTATGGAATCGGAGCAGTAATTTCACATACCTATCCTGACGGGTCTGAGAAGGCAGTCGCCCACGTTGCAAGATCGCTGACTATGACTGACAGAAGCTACAGTCAGATTAAGAAAGAAGCTCTCTCTATCATATTCGCTGTGAAAAAGTTCCACAAGATGCTGTATGGCAGACAGTTCACCTTACTTACAGACCATAAACCGCTACTGACAGTTTTTGGATCTAAAAAAGATATCCCTGTATATACAGTGAACCGTCTACAGCGATGGGCAACTACGCTACTGGGTTATGATTTCAAGATAAAGTACCAACCGACAACCGACTTCGGACAGACAGATGCCCTCTCAAGATTGACTGATTCGCATGCAAAACAAGAAGCGGAAGAGCTTGTAGCTGCCATGGATGTCAAGGATGAGGTTCATAAAGTGTTAACAGACGCAGTTTCCGGACTCCCGGTAACATTCGAAGTCATTAAAGAAGCTAGCAAGAAGGATAATGCATTGAAAATTGTTCACCGCTGCATACTCAACAAGTGGCCTTCGTCTAGACTACATGGAGAACTCTTACAATATTTACGTCGACGAGATTCCGTAACAGTTTTCGACTCGTGCATCATGTTTGGCCACCGTATCGTTATCCCCAGAAGTCTTCGACATCAAGTCATTAAGCAGTTTCACAGTGGGCACCCGGGGATAAGTAAAATGAAATCACTAGCTCTCAGCTATGCATACTGGCCGTCAATGGACCGTGATATAGAACAAAAATGTCGCAGTTGTTGGTCCTGTCTAGAGGCTGCGAAGAATCCAACGAAAGCTGAACCACAACCATGGCCGAAACCGGACGGGCAAAGAATACATGCTGATTTCGCCGGACCAATACAAGGCAGAAATTTCCTGGTTGTTGTCAATGTTTTAACAAAATGACCAGAAGTATATTATATGCCGAGAACGACATCAGAGAGTACAATAAGAAGATTGTCAGGATTGTTTGCTTGTTTTGGGGTTTCAGAGATTTTAGTGACCGATAACAGCACTCAGTTTATGTCATGCGCTTTTGCAGTGAAAATGGCATATCGCATCTACAATCTCCTCCGTACCATCCTCAGTCGAATGGCCAAGCAGAAAGATTCGTGAATACGATAAAAAGAGTTCTGGTAAAGGGGAGAGGTGAGGGTATCCCAGAACAAGTGATCAGTAAGTTCCTAATATCTTACAGAGTTACTCCTAATCCGGCAGTACCAGAAGGAAAATCACCAGCCGAGTGTATGTTCGGAAGGAAAATTCGTACAGTCAGTATGTTGCCGCCCACAAAGACAATAAAACCCATGAATGAGTATCGTACGGTCACTCGTAGCTTTCAGGTGGGTGAAAGGGTACTTGTCAAATCGTATCAAGGTAATAGGAAGTGGTAAGCAGGTGTCATAGAACGTCGAATCGGAAATGTACTGTACCTAGTCCGGAAAGGTGTCGGAAAATGCATAAGACACATAATTCAAATGCAAAGAGACAGCAGTACAGTGGTTCCAGAAAGCCGGCTCCCATTTCAGCTGCTCGTGGACTCACCTCAGAAAAGCCATTATGAGCGCAAACATAGAGGAGACAAACGACGCAAGGGAAAAGTTGTACAACCCTCGAGAGTGATGGACCGTAAGAGGAATGCAGCCACCAAGCTCCAGGTGGATCGAAGAAGTCTTACACAACGGACTTTAAAGGGGGGAGGTGTGACAACGGACCACGGGTGAACTCGAGGAAGCTGTAAGAGGCTCAGAAGGAGCCGAAGATATTCCATCCAATCACCTTTAGGAAGAGTATTCTAGAATTCCTACGTGTAGCTTCCCGATTGGACAAGGCTAATAACCCCCTGTATGCGGATTGGAGGACTGTAATGATGATTTTTGTTCTTACTAAAAACTATAAATACCTGACAATTTGTACCATAATTGACACTGGTTGGAATAATATTCCTTTCACTAGTCTTCTGTCTTCTTGCGACTTGGAAGGGTTTTGGCGTTCTTGTGTTCAGTTATACGCGGTATATCAAGTAATCAGTCAGTCAGTCAGTAACAACGTGGAACTTCGTACGTACGTACATCAGTTCGAGTTGCCATACCACATTAGCACAGAGATTCAGTTATCGATTCAAATCCCATAGTGGTAGAGGTACTGAAAGTATAAGTAGAGATAGGGGACATTAAGGTTTGATGATATCAAGTAATCAACCTTCTAGATATAACAATATACTAATTAACTACTAGTCCTATTCAGTTGTTTGTCTTGATAGATCCAAACTGTTCATTGCGACTAGAACTGTGGTTTTAATAGTTTTATACAATCAGATTGATTTGTAAATTCAAACGATGCGTCTTTATCAAAAATTAGTTCACCATTTTTTTCAAAAGATTTAGAAACTTTTATGATAATTAGAAGTATTTGAATTATATTATGAACTAAGAATCCCAGAAATAACGTAACTGGATCAAGAATTACTAGATAAGCATGAACGAATGTACTGTATTTAAAATTCGAAATCAGGCGTTCAACAAGTACAAAGCAATCATTAGTTCATTCAAACACCACAAGTTTCCTATATATTTGAAAGAAGGAGAATAAACAAAATTAGGATATAAAAACAAATATTTGATACCGAAGTTTGTCAGTAACCTTGATACATTTATTGATAGTGAAGATTTTCACCAGTGGTCATTTTAACAAGTACATTTTTTCACCAAAATATATTTACTAAAGCATCTATTTCACTGCTTTTGAACTTACTTAATTGTTAATGATTTCTATTGATTTAATATTATTGGTAAATTGTAAATTATATGACAAATAACATACAATAACACGATTAACTATATATATTACCATTTCATTCACAGGTTGAGAATAAATAGGAATATACCTATTTGTTTTTTGTCACAAGCACATGTAAAATGATGATGATGATAATGATACGAAAAATAATATTGATAATGATAGAACCTGTGTTATCTTTTATCGTTAAAGTAAAGTATCTTAGAAACACTATCACTTGAGTACTATCTAACTAATTTCTTTTCATTGTACAATCCAATTTGTAATGATGTTTCGTTCAATATTTCACATCATCCAATATAGTGTTCATATTATTATAAAAATTTTTGTGATATTTCAATGTAATTTATACATTTTCTTTCTAATCTTTTGTTTTGTGTTCTTTTAACATTGATTACTGAAATTAAGAATATTGTTACACATTTCTTATTTTATATTTTAACAAATTATGGTAAAATTCTCAAAACTGTAGTGATGATTACTTGTTTAATATTACCATATATATCACCGAGGTCCTACGGTCTCGTATACGAACGCGCAACCTAGAGACCATTGAGCCAGGGTACAGTGGTACACAAGTCAACCTTCCACCAATGATATTTCCAAAGTACTCACTTGAGACAAGTTTTTTACGACTCAGAATTACGTGTAGTAGTTACAAATAAGTTAGTCTTGGAACTATAATATCCTTATAGTACCATTGCCACACTTAAATTTGTTTGTTTTTGTCAAACCCTTCAGTTAAATTATTTGGAAGACTGTTAATAAAAACAGTAACAATTTGATACGTTGGTATTATTATTGTCTGTATGAACATATATGCTCGATTGCATATGACAGCCTACGTACATATCCCTCTTTCTTACTTAAATGTTAGTTCCCTAAAACACTGCTCGAATACGTTTTGTTTGCTTGTGGCTTAGTGATCTACGCTGTTCAATTATAAACTGTAGTCGATGCTCCGTATTGTCTTCTAAAATGTACACATCATTAGTATCTATTTTATAATGGTTATCAGGATAATTGATGTAAGAAGCCAAAGGAATTATGTCGAAAGGATATCAGAGCAGTCGAAGCAACACAAGATATTAGTCCACGAACTTATAGGCTACTATCCTGAGCCATATAAGTGGGGGGCTATGCTATAACTGTAAATTACAATTTCACATGTTGGGTAAAATGGGCGCATATATCGTTTAGTACTGTAACACACCTACATAGGCTATTCTGGCTTTTGAACAGACCAATTAATTCATTCGTTTTGAGTCATTATCTATATAGATTTCGACCTTGTCAGTTATTCGCTTATAACGTCGACTATCCTTATATGAGCGTACTTTGTGTTTACCAGTTAGTCTGTTTACAACCCTTTTTTAGCTTATTTTTTCTGTCTGACTACAAGCGGTGAATCTTGCTTTATCAAATCGAGTTGATATTCTTGCCTTCTACGTTTCGTTTCTCCCGTTGTCTTTCTGCGGTAAATACTTACTTACTTACGCCTGTTACTCCCAATGAAGCATAGGCCGCCGACCAGCATTCTCCAACCCACTCTGTCCTGGGCCTTCTTTTCTAGTTCCATCCAATTCTTGTTCATTTTTCTCATATCTATCTCCATTTCCCGGCGTAATGTATTCTTTGGTCTTCCTCTCCTCCTTCGACCTTGAGGATTCCATATGAGGGCTTGTCTTGTGACGCAGTTGGGTGTTTTCCTCAATGTGTGTCCTATCCACTTCCAGCGCTTCTTCCTGATTTCTTCCTCCACTGGGATCTGATTTGTTCTCTCCCACAGTAGGTTGTTGCTAATAGTGTCCGGCCAGCGGATCTGAAGTATTTTGTGTAGACAACTGTTAATAAACACTTGTATCTTCTGGATGATGGCTTTCGTAGTTCTCAAGGTTTCTACTCCATACAGTAGAACTGTCTTAACATTTGTATTGAAAATCCTGACATTGGTGTTGGTTAAGAATTGTTTTGAGTTTCAGATGTTCTTCAGTTGTAAATATCCTGCTCTTGCTTTGCCGATCCACGCCTACACATCTGTATCAGATCCACCGTGTTCATCAATGATGCTGCTCGAATATGTAAAGGTTTTTACATCTTCCAAATCTTCTCCGTCAATTGTGATTGGATTGGTACATGTTGTGTTGTATCGAAGAATCTTGCTTTTCCCTTTGTGTATATTGAGACCTACTGCTACTGAGACTGCAGCTACACTGGTCGTCTTCTCCTGCATTTGTTGTTGTGTATGCGATAGAAGAGCCAGATCATCTGCGAAGTCTAGATCATCCAATTGCATCCTAGCTATCCACTGTATCCCGTGCTTCCCTTCAGATGTTGATGTCTTCATGATCCAATCGATCACCAGGAGAAAGAGAAAGGGTGAGAGTAAGCAACCTTGCCTAACACCAGTCTTTACTTCGAACGACTTTGTCAACTGTGCTTCATGCACGATTTCTGCGGTAAATAGTGCATGGAATATACATACCATACCAAAAGCCCTTCTAGTGTTTTACTTATTTCGTTACTCACTAACGCGAATTAATACAGCAGATATAAAAAGGGGTTGGTGGGATATCTATTCCGTTGTAATCATACCATGTGATCAGATCGAAGCCAGGTAACGGAGTCACCATACGGAAACTGACCGCAGTAACACAGTAGCATCCATTCTTTACCTTATAAGCTTTTAGTATAGTGTTATTTCATTACTTTTCATTTTTTTAGGCACATTCCTTCCTATTAATTATATTTTCATATTTAGATTTCTAATAAAATAGATATTAATACTTCTACTCGACTGTTCCCTATCTTGTTAATTTGAGGTACGGCTACTCTGATCAATACATATTCGTATTAAATACCAAACTGCTTGAAACCAACCGAGTGAAAAGTCAATTAAAGATAAAAAGTAGTATTAACTTAAATTCTTTGATATATATAAAATTAGATATAATAAGAGCAACCGGTATAGCGGTCAAATAGACTCATGAATATATAAAAAATGAAGATTAGAAAAGAGATATTCTTTCATTCGATAATATGGATACATCTGTTAATGATCCAAACACAAAAAAGAAAGTATTTACTTAATTAAAAATCAGTGTACTACAACTTGTTACATGTGAACAGGATTAGACTTTCTAAAATATTCTTAACAGCTTATGTTTCTAGATGATTTGTGTGTCGCTGTTCTAGGTTTTTCCATAGGTTGAAAAGATAACGTACTTGAGCATTATGCACAATATTTTCAGATGGTTTATTATAAATCCTTTTGTTACTCGTTCTGTTTTCTCTTTTTTCTCGACAGCCACAAGGAAATATTACATTAAGTGATAAATTACTTGGTTTATCACCTAGATTTGTATTGTTTCGATCACATAGGTTAGGAACCGGATGTATCGTTTCACGGACATAATTGCTTTCTAATTCATGGATGCTATAAAATGAATCTAAAGATGATGGGAGACTAATTTTAATCATATCACAAAGATCGATAAAAGTGATTAAAGTATTTATCACTTTGGTCAGCCGAGATGTTGCATCGGGATTTCTTTCTTTAATAAAGAGAAGTTTCGGAAGCCATACTCTTATGACTGAATAGCGTCTACTACAGGGCTTTAAAGCAGCTAACTGAGTAGCTAAAAAATGTACCAGCTTTCCAGAGGGAAACAGTATCCAAGACTGTGCAAAAGTGAAGTAATTTGACTGTTTATTCTCTGGCACAAGACAGTTGAGAGTTGTAACCAAATCTTTAAAACTGTTGAAAGTTGACTGTATAGCATTAAAGCTGTGTACAATATCAGTTCTGAAACTAGTAGAATTGCTACCTGAAATAGATAACTGATCAGGCATTCTGCTTAGATTATCATAAAATTCACATAATTCGCTAATAGACGAACCATCGTTGTATATATTTGCGACAGCACAAGAAGCTACAGCAAGTCCAACAGACGACTCACTAAACACAGAAGGGATCTCAATAGAAGTATACTTTAGTTGTTGAAACCAAAATGTTAAAACTACTGCTAAACTGTAAAGGAACTTAGGGATCAAATTGTTTTCCGATAGTTTGATGAAACCCAGATTATCTTTAATAACTTCATCTGTGCTAACTTTGCTGAAATCTAAAGGAATATGTTTGACTGGGATTCGATACATCACTAATTTATCATTTTGTCTCATATATTCAATAACATCAGGATTTAATCCAACAAGTTTGTTTTCCATACTTAAACTGCGTTCCAATGACACATAAATTTGATATTGTAATCTTCGAATTAAGAATGATGTTTTATGCACTGAGAATGGGCATTTCGGATCTTCAATTATGGTGGTAAGAAAAACACCTCGAGATGAATAAATAGATGGTTTTGAAAATAATATTCCCTTCCTGAAATTATAAAGAAGACGAGGAGGCCACCCATTTGTATAGTCTTCATGCCACAAGTATGCTGCAATTTTACCTTTTAGTGAATCAATCACATCCTCAACACTTCCACCAGATCTGAACGCTGATTTAATAGTTGTAAATGTATTTGTTGAAGTATCATTAAAGTAACTTTTATCACTTAATAGACTCATAACATTTTTAGTTTCTTCTAGAGGGCAAACAAAACGAGAGATGCCATGTATCATATCGTTTATTATAGAAGTGCGCTGTTCAACTGGATAACAGTTAATAACATCTTCTAATGGTTTAATTGAATTTGAATCGAACTGTGAAAACCATTCAAGGAGTACAGACAATCGATGTTGTGAATAATTTATTGTCGAATTGTTTGTTTGTAACTTTTCTCGTAATTCTAATGGGAGTTTTACATTAGACACAACATCTGTACCAAGTAACACAGCTAAAAGAGGCAAATGAAAATCTGAAGATTTCGCTAAAATTGAAAGTTTAGGAATAAATTTGTGAAACAGCATCTCTTTTTCACCATTACTTTTACTGGAACCACTTGATAGACTTAAATTTAGATTGGCCAAATGAAGTGTAAGAAATGTCGGATTCGAATATGGTTGAGAAATTAAATTATTAAGAATATTTTGTCTCTTCGACATAAGTATATAATAATCAGATGATAAACCAATAACTGGACATTGTAAAATTATAGCAATAGCGGTACAAACAGTTGTAGGAAAAGATTTAACTCTAACACACCTCCATTGGAATTCATTTAAAGCATACAAAAATACATCCCTAGCTGATAAACTGAGTACTTGGGGGATTTCATCAAGTGCATTTAATTTTAAGGCTGTGATAAGTTGTGATAACAAATTGATTTCTCTCTGCTGTTTTTGCTTTAATTTTTTATCCTGTTAGTAAGAAATGAATAACAAATAGAAATATTTATATGATTAACAATAACAAGAATTTCGTTTCATTTTTACTAATAATAGTAATCTTTTTAAAACATTACATTCTCACTGAAAAGACCTTTTTTACCGTTGTCAGTTAAACATTATGTAGTATGGTAAGAGAGTAAGCATGCTTAAACAATAAGGAAACACAGTTTGAATTGATTCATTGCGACTAAGGAAATGGAGCTTTCAACAATTTCCTCGTTAAAAAATTAATTTTCCCGCCATACAATATAGGAAGTCTTTGAAATAACTTCATTCCATACAACATTAGTCACAAACATTAATTTAGTAATGATATAAGATACTTCAATTTACCTTCTAAAAATGAGCATTTTTTCGTACTAATTAAGTGTTTGAATGGAAATTTATGCTGAAAGTGACTTTTTGTCACGAACTGATATAAGCTTGAAAACTATTGAAAACGATGAAGCATTGACCAGCTATTTTATCAATTTTTGGAATTCCTCAACAGTTAGTATCTATGATCTAAAGAAGCATAGAGCCGAATACTTCATAGCGGTTAAAATATCTTTAGACCACATAATTACAATGGAATGAATTCAGATTCCTAACTTTAATCAATTCGCGTTATATTCCAACTATAATCCAATGCTGTTGGTCAATTACTATCTCGTTTACGACATGGTCTAACTTCACAAACCCTGTCCATAAAGTACTTTTGATTAGTCATAATTATTATTACTATGAGTATTATTATCGTTATTACTTTTATTAATATAAGTTTTAAGATTATCACCTGCTTCTCACTACAGATTATAATCCACAATAATCATAGCCCCCTGATATGCATTGTTAATTACAAACTAGAAGTCAATTACTTATGGACAGGTAAGGGGTCTTTTTAAAATGGCAAGATTTAGTAAAAAATATCAAAAAGTTACAGACTAAGAAAAAATTATAAAACAAGTCTGAATCTACTCGACCCAATTTAGGAAGTGACATTGTATCATCAATTAGAAAACCAAAAGATTGTGAATAAAATGAGTTACACCAAACGATTTGAATCTTTTAGATAGTTAGTTCTGTTTTTCATCCTGCATAACAGATTAGTAGATGATTTTAGTGGCTTCGTTATGTTCATTCTAAGTACTTACTTACTAACTCCTGATAACCCTCATGAAGTAGCGTAAGTCACCTTCCAGCATTTTTCATCCAACTCTGTCTTGGACTCTCTTCTCCAGTTGTTTACAGTTTCTATTCATTCTCTTCATGTCTTCTTCCGATTCCCGACACAATCTGTTCTTTGGTCTTTCTTTTTTTCCTTTTCCCTTCACGATTCCGAGTCAGGGATTGCATCGTGATATAGTCTGATGATTTCCGCAATGTATGTCCTAATGTTAGCGGGACATAGATTGGATTAAAGCATGCTCAATGCACGATTTCTTTCGTGCACGCTGATTGGCTAATACTTGTACAATCAGCGCTAGCAAATACTTGGAGAACACTCCAGAATCTTCTCATGTAAAAATTATAAATATACTAACGTTTTTCCTACTGTGCTTCTTACTTCCATCTAATTTGGTTATTTGGAACATGATCTCTTTTCTGTTCAACTGTGTTCTGATTTGGGGACTTCTCGAGTGAATTGGTGTCCGACAATACTGAGATTTCTAGTGTTTTTCAAGTATCGACTATAGCTGATCTGATAAGGATTAGCCAATCAGCGTGCATCGAGCATGCTTTAATTCAATCTATGTCTCGTTAACATCTCCCCTTTGAGCAGATTCGTAGGATCTGGTGTGTAGAGGACGTTCACGCTTCTTCTTGGGATGAGGTGTACGATTCGGTGGATAATGACCTCCTTTATGTCTACGTTTGTTGCACACCTGACATTTGTGCTTCTTAAATGGACAGAATCGTACATAACGCCAGTCACTACATAACCAACATGCAGTCGTTGGTTTGTTACCAGTTGTTATCGGCTTCTGAACTTTTAACCTAGTAATAACATTGACACTACTGCAGGTTAAATTAGGATTTGTCTGTTCAATCAACTCGTTATCGTGTCTGATGCTTTGTAGACGCTTACTCATCTGTCAATGTTCTGAGTGTGACGTTTGGGTGGAACCAAAAGTCTAGTCCTGATCTCAGCATCTTGTGGTGACTAAAGAGCTTTGATGAATATTACCCATTTAAATTAGTCTTCTGTCAACGAGCGTAACTTGAACCGTTCACATTCTCTGTTGACGATGTCTACCAAAAAACACCATATTCATCGGCTTCGCGTTTCACCAAATTTAGACACTGATATCAAATACTAAACAATGAGGATGATTCGCCGAATATCCCTGAAAATTGAATTACCATTTCCTTAAAACTGAGTTCTCGAGGTAACTTTGGCAATATATGGTCAGCATAACGTGCATGTTCATTGTTTCCCGAATTACGTACTAACAATAGTCTTCCGTGCGTCGTCTTGTTTACAGAATTCTATTCTAAATGTATCTTCCCAACGTTTGAACTACGTGAGAGAAGTATTTCGATTTTCGGGGTCATAGATGAATTCTGGGATGGTACTAGCAACTGCATCACAAGACGAATCAAAGATGCCACCTAGATACGTGTAAGTTCCCACCTCTTCCAGAGTTCATCCATCAAGTGTGATTGGGTTAGTGTTCTCAGTGTGGTATTTGAGGATCTTGCATTTTCCCTTGTGTATGCTGAGGCCTACTGCTATAGAGGTTGGTGCTACACTGGTAATCTTCACCTGTAGTTCTTGGTGTGTTTGGGATAGAAAAGTTGGATCATTTGTCAAGTCCAAATCATCTAGTTTCACCCAAGCTGATCATTGTATTCCGTGCTTCACCTGAAATGTGGAGGTCTTCATAATTCAATCGACCAACAGAAGAAAAAGAAAGGGAGAGTGTAGACAGCTTTGTCTGACACCGGTCCTCATTTGCAATGCATCTGTCAGCTGTCCTCCATGCACGACTACACAGTGTAGTCTGTTGCACGAATTCCGTATGATATCTACAATATTCTCGGATACATCACAGTGTCGAATAAGGGTCCATAAAATTCTATTATGCACACTGTCAAACGCTTTCTCGTAGTCAAGGGAGTCGATGTATAGTGACGAGCTCCATTCAATTGATTGTTCAACGATAATCCGTTGTGTTGTGATTTGGTCTGTACACGATTGATCCTTTTGGAATCCGCCCTGTTGATCTCGAATTTAGAGTCTACTAAGTCTTTCATTCACTTCAACAACTTTAACCTATATATCCGTGCTACATTTTTTTATGGTTAGACCCTTGACACATCGAGTTATTCACCCTTAACGATGACCATGCACAACTGGAGATCATTTTTAGATCAACCATATGGTTCATTACTTATTTAAACGTCTAGTGATTTAGAAGAATCAATGTTTGTATTCTCTTCTTATTGACATGAATTCAAGTTAAACCAATGTCATATAGTGAATATATACTTCCAGAATTAATTTAGCGTATTATACTTAGACTAGACAGTTGTGTGGTAAATGAGACAACAAAGCAATATTAGAAGTCTAACATAAAATATATTCGGAACGAGATATATTTAACGCGCACTAATCTGCAGATAAACCAAGAACAAAGAGAAGGGAGAGTGAATTGTATGGTATTGTTGCGGAGTGAGAGCAGTGATAATTGTAATGGCAATTTCGACATATTATGCAACAGCTATTCCAAAAGAAAAATTTTGCTAAGAAAGATTTATCGAAAGAGACCAAAAAAGACTGATTTACAATTAAGTTAATTTAGTTATATATCAAACCAATGGCCATTCATTTCAGAATTTCGCCAACCGAGTAATTACCACTAAGCAAAAATTTATTATAAAATAACCAATACACAGAAAATTGATTGAGAGTCAAATAACTGATTACAATTGGAAATACACTGAAAGTTAATGAATAAAATTTACTCTAGTTCAACGAGAATGCATTGAAATTGACTGAACAAAAATTATTTTACATCAACATGAGAAATTAAGATTAGTTTCCTTCTTTATACACCGTATTTCGGAATATAACGAGCTCCCAATGAGAAGACATACAATGTTATCTTTAAATGTGAGATCATTATACAAAAATGTTCTAACTACGTACAGTTTTATTTTATATCAAGCCAAATTGGAGAGACTGAAATAGACATTGGAATCCAAATAAATGTGCTAAAATGAACCATGAATGTGAACTTCATGTTTACCGAAGGAATATACAAATAAATGAATGAAGTAGAAATGGGTTTGGTGTAGGGTCTCCTGTTAACGGATATCTTCTTAGATAAACCAGAAAACAGGTCACGTGCACAGCTGGATAAAAAGTCTTCATTTTACTCCTGATATATAAACGACACACTCATCCTTAGTAAACAAAATACTGATCAGTTAGAAATTAAGTAATTCTATCGATTTCATCAGGCCATTAAGTTCACGTGGAGGCAGAGTACCACTTCTAAATGTACTACTTACGAATAGAAGGCGGATCGCTAACAAAGAACTTAGGCAAGAAAGGTCTTGTGACTGTCTGGTTTTATATTTGGTCAGACAAAAACGAGCCCAGTTGACTGTGGAAATGCTGTAGTCTAGTGAACTTTTTCTCGTTAAATCACCTAAGTTTACTTGTTCCCTTTTAATTGCTTACACTTAGAAAATTGAAAACGTGAAAAAATATATCGTCCACTATTATCGTATTCTAAGGAAATCTCTAGAATTTAGTAACTATGAAATTATGCTTACGATTTAAAAAATTCACACCACTGTTCCTATACAATCCTGAACTTATGGTTTGGATTATTTTTAACAAATCGGATTACTCAGTCCTAGGCTAAATAGAAGTATCTGACGTTAATACCCGTTAAATTGCTGACGATATACAAAAGTGAATATTTTAAAAATATTTCTTTGGACTGGTGTTTCGAAGAAGTTACATGAAGATTGACCAAGATAGCTTAAAATTCCTAATTGTGATTTAGGAAAGACACAGCTGATATGTTTTAATAAAACAAACTTGTCAAGTACTTCAGTATGAGAACGCTACACAAATTAAACAAATAGGTGTATTAATCTTGAGATGTTTATCCGGAATACTAGAGAAGGACATAAATTCACAGCATAAATAAAAGCAATTTGCAATGTGTAAGTGAGGATTATGATTTATGTTAATTTTTGTTAAAAAGCCCTTACTTTCATGTCACAGCAACCCCTTAAAATGAAGTACGGCTCCACATTCGAACATTGCAACTTCAAAAAGAACGAGCGTACAACCATGTAAAAAGAAAGATTCTCACCACCATACAGTCCTGTAGAAAATTTATCATGTAGAAAACCAACTAAGTCGTCAGCGTCCACAACAACTTTAGTATCTTTCAGAAAGAAAGGTTCCCATGAAGCGTAACTCCTTAAAAGAATTTTATTTAGACCCAGTACGGTCATTGCCAATTTATAGGGATTTCGCGCAAAACGATATGTAATCTAAAAAGTATTTGAAAAATTAAGTCTTCTGAGTAAAGCCTTAGCCTTATCAAAATACGATGGCTTCGACAGTTGCACAATTTCAGTAAATGAATGATATGCGAAACACAATGGAAAATAACTACTAAAATATTATTAACATACACTAAATAAAGATGATAGAAATAGGATGGGAAAACCATACAGATTTACATGACTTAATCCAAAAAGGAGGGCAAGGACAGGAAAAAGAACATATACTTCATCCCAAACTGGATTACTACATCATCAGGCGATCTCAATATAATCATTATTTTTATACAAGTCGGGTGAAGAAATATTTCTTTTGAGTTAGTTCTTCGTTATAGCTCGAAACTGATGTATAGGTTTTACAGACAAGTATATCTTAATAGGAATATTTGATATATAGTACAAAACTCAGTTGGGCTAAGAAGTCTATAAATTTCACAGAGATATATAGAAAAGAATCGACATCCGAGAACATGGTGAAAAGCACTAAATCGAAACAGAATCCGACAAAACGGAGGAACATTAAAACAATAAGCTTTGAAACAGAGAGACTCAATCAAATTGTATCTTATTAAATTGACGAAGAATATTGCTAAGAGATCCGAAGCAGTTGAAGAACTCCCTAGATACTAGAAGCAACAATTTTCAGAATAAATGATTCGAGCCAAAACAAAGATCGTATCTAGTTAGTCCAGAGCTTTAATACCGCACTTCAAGACCTTAACTCCCGACAAGTATTACTTACTTACGCCTGTTACTCCCAATGAAGCATAGGCCGCCGACCAGCATTCTCCAACCCACTCTGTCCTGGGCCTTCTTTTCTAGTTCCATCCAATTCTTGTTCATTCTTCCCATGTCTATCTTCATTTCCCGGCGTAATGTGTTCTTTGGTCTTCCTCTTCTCCTCATTCGGCCTTAAGGATTCCATGTGAGGGCTTGTTTTGTGATGTAGTTCGGTGCTCTTCTCAATGTGTCCTATCCACTTCCAGCGCTTCTTTCCGATTTCTTCCTCCACCGGGATCTAGTTTGTTCTCTCCCACAGTAGATTGTTGCTAATAGTGTCCAGCCAACGAATCCGAAGAATTTTGTGTAGACAACTGTTAATAAACACTTGTATCTTCTGGATGATGGCTTTCGTAGTTCTCAAGGTTTCTACTCCATACAGTAGAACTGTCTTAACATTTGTATTGAAAATCCTGACATTGGTGTTGGTTAAGAATTGTTTTGAGTTTCAGATGTTCTTCAGTTGTAAATATCCTGCTCTTGCTTTGCCGATCCACGCCTACACATCTGTATCAGATCCACCGTGTTCATCAATGATGCTGCTCGAATATGTAAAGGTTTTCACATCTTCCAAAGCTTCTCCGTCAATTGTGATTGGATTGGTACATGTTGTGTTGTATCGAAGAATCTTGCTTTTGCCTTTGTGTATATTGAGACCTACTGCTACTGAGACTGCTCCTACACTGGTCGTCTTCTCCTGCATTTGTTGCTGTGTATGCGATAGAAGAGCCAGATCATCTGCGAAGTCTAGATCATCCAATTGCATCCTAGCTATCCACTGTATCCCGTGCTTCCCTTCAGATGTTGATGTCTTCATGATCCAATCGATCACCAGGAGAAAGAGAAAGGGTGAGAGTAAGCAACCTTGCCTAACACCAGTCTTTACTTCGAACGACTTTGTCAACTGTCCTCCATGCACGATTTTGCAGTTTAATCCATCATAGGAATTCTGTATGATATTGACTATCTTCTGAGGCACGCCGTAGTGTCGAAGAAGCTTCCATAGGGTTGTTCTGTCCACGCTATCAAATGCTTTTTCGTAGTCGATGAAGTTGATATAGAGTGATGAATTCCATTCAATTGATTGTTCCACAATGATCCGTAGAGTTGCGATTTGGTCTGTGCACGATCTATCCTTACGGAATCCTGCCTGTTGGTCTCGAAATTGGGCGTCTACGGAGTCCTTCATCCTGTTTAACAATACCCTGTTGAAGACTTTTCCTGGTATTGAAACAAGAGTGATTCCCCTGTAGTTGTCACAGTTGCTGAGATCGCCTTTCTTTGGTATTTTGACTAGAAGTCCTTCTTTCCAGTCTTTTGATACCTGTTCCTCATCCCAGATCTTTCTGAAGAGAATGTGGAGTATCCTTGCAGTTGCCGCTACGTCTGCTTTCAGTGCCTCTGCTGGAATGCTGTCTAGTCCTGCTGCTTTGCCACTCTTGATTTGTCTGGTAGCCATGCTGATCTCTTCAATTGTTGGTGCGCCAACATCAATTGGGATGTCCGTGAGTGCTGCTTCTATGTTGGGTGGGTTCAGTGGGGCTGGTCGATTCAAGAGTTCTTTGAAGTGTTCTACCCATCTGTTTCGTTGTTCTTCAATGTTGGTGATTATCTTGCCTTCCTTGCTTTTCACTGGTCGTTCTGGTTTACGGTGATTTCCAGAGAGTTTCTTTGTTGTTTCATACAGTTGTCTCATGTTTCCTTCTCTGGCAGCCTTTTCCGCCGTCAATGCCAAATCCTCCACATATTTACGTTTGTCAGTTCTGATACTCCTTTTCACTTGCTTGTTTACTTCTGTGTATTCAGCCTGTGCCTTGACTTTTTCTGCTCTTGTTCGACTGGTATTGATTGCTGCTTTCTTGTTCCTCCTTTCTTGAATCTTATCCAGTGTATCGACCGTGATCCAATCCTTGTGATGGTGCTTCTTTTGGCCCAGAACCTCATGACATGTTGAAGTGATTGCTTCTTTTATCTCTTTCCAGTTGCTCTCCATAGTAGTAGATCATGAAAGGCTTGGAACTTATTGCTGAGGGTTATCTTGAATTTATTGAGTTTGTCAGTATCCCGAAGAAGAGCCGTATTAAATTTTTGTGATATTGTCCTCCCCGTTGTCCAGTGCCTCTTGAGTTTCAATTTCATCTTGGCGACCAGCAAGTGATGATCTGATGCTATATCAGCTCCTCTCTTTGTTCTCACGTCCTCCATCGTCCTCCTGAACTTTTTGTTGATGCAGATATGGTCGATTTGGTTCTGTGTGGTGTGATCCGGTGAAGTCCATGTGGTTTTGTGTATGCGTTTATGTGGGAATATAGTCCCACCTATGACCAGTTTATTGAAGGCACATAGATTTGCAAATCTCTCACCATTTTCGTTCCTTTCTCCGAGTCCGTGTCGTCCCATGATCTCTTCATATCCGGTGTTGTCAGTTCCAACCTTGGCATTTAGGTCTCCCATTAGAATAGTCAGGTCTTTTGTTGGGCACTTCTCGACGATTGACTGCAGCCTATCGTAGAATTGATCTTTAGCGTCTTCGTTGTATTCGTTGGTAGGCGCATAGCATTGGATGACGTTCATTGTAATCCCCGTTTTCTTGGTTTTGAAGGAGGCTTTGATGATCCTTGGTCCATGAGATTCCCATCCTATAAGTGCATTTTGTGCTTGTTTGGACAGCATCAATGCAACTCCTTGTGTATGTGGAGCATTTTCTTGTTCATGTCCGGAGTATAACAGCAGCTCCCCTGAAGCTAGTCGTTGTTGTCCAACTTGCGTCCAATGTGTTTCACTGATCCCAAGCACCTCTAAATTGTATCTCCTCATTTCTGCAGCAATTTGGAAAACTCTCCCAGTCTCCCACATTGTGCGAGCATTCCATGTACCTAAGTGAATGGTTGCTCTGGTTGTCAGAAGGTGCATCGGCCTCGTGACTTCCGAAGAAACTCGGCTTTCATCGTGAGGCGTCATAATTCTTCTAAACGAAGACCTTCTGACTCCCAGGGCAGAGTTTAAATGGTTTGAATAATTCTTTCTGGTTAGCGTTTTTTTTAGCGAGTTAGTTTTCTACGGGATGGGGTCGCTAACGCCATGCCCAACCCTCCTCCTTTATCCGGGCTTGGGACCGGCAGTAGCCCCCGGAAAGGGGCTCCAGGCGGAGTTCCCGACAAGTATAAGTTGTTATTATTCATAATTTGTCGAGTGCTGTTTTTGATGTGACTCATTTACAAGTTATACCCCTTAATATTGAATTTTATGATAGAATAATGTTAGTTAGATGGATGTAGGTTCAGTTTGGTGACCTGTACGCCAGAAACCAGCAATAACTCCTTTTGGTGGATTTAGAAACAGACCTTAACGTTGTACTTATTTTGCTGATTAATTTTGTAAAAATCGTTAAATTTTTTCTCTCTGCACTGACTAACAAATTTTTCCATCCATACGCAATTGTCACATAATTACTTATATTCTGTTTGGCTAGTTATCCATCATTTAAATTCAAATACATACGTCTTAGCTAAACATGTCCGTAGTTCTGGTTATTTTTCATCTTTAGGTATCAAATCGATTTTTCACATGTATGACTAGAGTTTATTAATATTATTGTACATTATTTGGATTTTCCCCTTTCTTCATGCTCAACATGCACAATAATTCTGTGCATTAGAATAATACACACACACACACGAAAGCCACATATTTACACAATATTTTCTCATGGAAGAACACTACGCTATTTGTGAGTTTTATTTCGTATTTTTCCACTTTTCTATCAGTGTTCCACCTGGAAACTCAAAGAGAAAGCTATGTAGAAACGGTTAATGTAGACCCAATCTCATGATTTCGCCTTAATTGTACAATTATGTTTATTCAGTATAAAATTTTGTCTTGAGTATTTTGTAGAACGCCATCGTCATCTGAATAATACACCGATTACTACTCACTTAATACACGTCCTGCCTTGCATACTTTTGTTTTCAATCCCTAGTCACCGTCACACAACCTATTACTCAAATCCCAATTGGTACTTCAATCATTATCCTAATCAATGCTCTGTTACAACAATTGAATGTATTTGTTGTTCCGTATCCACCGAATTCGCTCCATAATTGCAAATTCGTATTACATTAACGTTAATCATATAATCTTTGTTTGGTCAACCACACCGGCTAAGAGGATCAGAACAAAAACACAAAGAACCTTAAACTAAAAAAGTGAAAACTCAATCATTATCAAAAGTATGGGATCCGTTCTCCTCGTTAATAAACTAGTCTATACAGAAAAGGTGAATTCATTACTTGGTGAGCATTATGAATTCCGGAAAACAACACCTAAAAACGACCCCACAGGAAAGATGATCAACAAACTACACAATCTCAAAATAGCTTTAAACAACAAAATTTGACTTCCTAGGACATATGTCCAACACAGAACCATTGATCTTCATTCAGTCAGCTACAACTTACGATCAGTCACATAAGTACATTGGTCTAAGTTTACATACCTTATTAACACAACAAGATGAACAACCAAATTCATAGAAGCAGTTACTTCACAGGGTAGTAATATACAAAAGAAAGATTATTTAAGGATATAATACAGGAAGAAATAATTAGAACGAAAGGTATAAATCAATTTTAATTTCACAGTTTTACGGAAGAAAAAGAATGAATACACCGAAGCCATGTCACACACACAGTCTCCAACCATTCAATACGATAGTCACACGGACCACAACCGCGTAGTCTGCATCTAACAACATGCCTCAGAACAGAAGTTACTGACTTCAATAACTGATACGACGTTTTCGTTTGGCCGCATTGCGCGTCGTGATAATCGGTGTCCAGGCAATCGTGACGTGGCTCAACCATATCAGCCTATGAAAATACACAATCTCATCGACTGATTTAACATCATTCTCAAATACCTTCATTATTACTTACCCGGTGATTCCAGCAGATGCGAGCAATATTTCGAAGACATCTGTCATCAAATACTTGCAAGTTACGAGTATCCTCTACTCTTAATGGTCACATTTCAAAGCCGTATATTGGAACAAAACGAACTGCTGAGCAGTATACTCGTCCCTTAATTGATAGACAGATATCTCGTCATAGCCATAGGTGACGTATATTGGGGAATTCTAAACGAGCTTTCTGAATGCTTGCACAGATCTAGTCAGACACCAACTCACTGGTGCTATTCAAACTTTCAAGATAAGTGAAGTTGTCAACGCGTCTGACTACTTCACTCCCAATCCGTGGTTCAGGTGTTGATGCAGGCCAGTCTTCAAGCAACAACTTGCATCCCAAACATCCTGACATTATTGCACAATGCATTTTATCAGCGTATTCACCAAACATGACCATATCATCTGCGTATTCCAAGTCGATAAGTGGACATCCTGGAAAGAGATCAATTCCCAAAAATTCAGACGACAAGAATGTTATCTCGATCAGTATGTCTATGATGAATTTGAACGAAAATGGAGATAATGGACAGCTTCGCCGGACACCACTTGAGGTAGCAAAATCAGATGACAGTTCGCCATAAGCTATGTTTCGACTGGTAGTGTTCGAGTAAAGAGCCCTCTCAAGCTTTATGAACTTCTGAGGTACATCTTTCAATGACAGACACTACCACAGAACCTCTCGGTCTACAGAGTCAAACGCTGCTTTCAAGTCAAGAAAGACCACCATTTTTGAATACCGATAAGCATGCCTGTATTCTAAAATCTGACGAATGGTGAGTATGTGTTCGATGGAGCCACGACCAGATGTGAACACAGCCTGATTTACGAAGAAGTCGTCTTTCACTTCATCCGGACTGCAGTTAATGGGAGCGTAGGCGGAAACGACAAAAAGGCAACGACGTGTCTCTTTATCTTTCCGAGTTCTTACGGAGCCATTTCGCCGTTTAGCACATAGGCGTCTGTTAGCGGGAATCCATTCTAATAGTGCTTGTTCTGCCGTCGTACTCAGTGATATGCCTACATCCGCCAGTCCACGAGAATTAACCCAAAATTTCAAAAGTTCGACGAAATAACTATCCTATTAACTGGTTGAAGGTATCCAACAGGAAATCCTGGACCTAAATGTTGTGCTAACTAGCACTCATTGGTAAAGTGTACTTGTTAACATGAGGTAAGTAAAGCTCCTAATCTGATTTAAATTTGGATCACTCAATTTCACAGTCTAAAGCCAGCCTGATTTGCTCGTGCTATCAGTTCACGAGTCTTTGTTGAGCGCCCGATAGTTATTGAGGCTAGTATTTTAGAATCTATATTGGTCAAACTAATCCGTCTATAGTTATCACAGGATGTTTTTAACCCATTCTTACATATTTGGACAATCAGTGGTTGTGACCAGTAAGATGGTATTGCACCTAGTCATCAGATTTTAAATAAAATATTAGTCAAAATAATTGCTAAAACTAAACCAGCATACTTAGAGACCTCTGGAGAACCAGCTGCTCTTCTTCGTTTCAGATTAGCTATAGCTTTTTGAACTTCAATTAGAGTTTGAGGCCTACTTTACTGTTCCAATCAGGCTATTTGGAAATGGTTGGTAGCTGTAGAGTGGCTAAAAGCCAGCTGAAATGCTCATTAAAGTGCTCCGCCTATCATTTTAAACGTCTGGGCTGTGATATGACGGGATGGAAAGTTAAAATTAGATTGATATACCCATTATGATTTTTTTAACATTAATTCCGTTCTAATTCAATGTGATGATAACTCAGTATAGTATTTTTTTCCCGTATGACATTTTATTCTGTAAAACATATGATATTATTAAGTTAACATGAACTATACTCAGCATATGATCTGTTATAACTAAGTATTGTCCATACATGTGATTTTATTTTAATTATTAATCAAAAATGGGTGTATGGATCAATATATTAGTGTATTTCCGAGTAGACTTGTCGTGGTTGTTAGTGTTTCTGGCCGTTTAAGGAATATATTTTTCTCTTCTGGACTTGAACTTCTCTCCCTAGTTAGCCGGGCTGGGACGCGTCGCAATAGCTAACTTAGATGTCTTTGTGTCACAGAGTCTTCGTTCCGTTCTTAGATTAGGTAGACTCGTAATTTCTTCAAACATAGTAGGCTGGGAGCAGATAGAAATGTCGTCTTTTTCCGAGATCGTCTCACTTACATTTGGTTTCTTAATTCCAGTTCCTTTTATTAGTTTGAATAGCTATCTCATGGTACCTACAGCCGCTGCCTTTTCCTTCTCTTTTGCTTTCGTTGCCTACCACTGCTCACTGTCATTCCTTAGACTTTTGGTTAACCTAGAACTGATTTGTTTACGCTTTTCATTATGTTTAGAGCCTGATGGGATGAGTTAACGAGAATCTATCAGTGCAATAGACTTAGTAGAAATCCACTGATTTTTCTTGACCCTTTGGTTCAAATCACTAATAAATTTCGCTGCTGTTTCCACAGTTGTTTGTATATCTTTTTAAGCTACATCTAGGCCAGTATGATACTGAGATACCTCTTTGTAAGAATTGATTCTCTGTTCAACAGAGAGACCTATGGAAATTGTGATTCTGTCGTTACTGATTCACCAATCGGTACACCACTAGTGTTTTTCTTTCGGCGAAATTAGTAGACAGCCATCTTAAGTTTGTTTTTTTTGATCTTTTATTATGCATCAAAACCACTATTAAAAATCCACAACTAAGCTGATTCCCGGAATAGTAAAACTCCCGTATGATGCTCGGATGACTAAACCAAACACATTTCCATTGTCACATAGGAGAACCAGAGGCTATTTGATCACCGTTTTTAAATTTCTTAATGGTAAATTTGTACCTGATATGCCCCCACTTTTTGTCTTTTAAAACACAGACTTTACAAGGACACTGAGAAAGTTCACAAGCCCAGAACAAATTACTAGTCACATGACTATCGATTTTCCAATCGAACCATCAGCGAATGAAAATGAATACCTCAACAAGTGGTTGAAGCTTCATCTGTCAACGCTTTTAAAAGAAGGTCAGATCAACTACGAGACCACAATTTCCAGGACTAACCCAGTCCATCTAGCCTCCTGTCCTTTCCAAACTGAAACTTTAGCTCCAATGGATTGAAGCAGCATCAGGTTCAGAAACATCCTGTGCAGTAATAAGAACGAGTTATTCTGATATTCTGTCCGAATAAATGCTACAGCAATATTTACTGGAAGTACTAGTGTAGGTCAAACGACCTAATATCCGGATATTAGGGCCCTTTAGTTAAGACAATGTTGAGGCGGTGAAATATAGAACAAATATGCTCTTCATTGGTCCCTAGAAGATTACATAACGTTTGGAACAATGAAAACACACTTATCTTAAGGTGTAAATCTATATTACTTATAAATTTCTTCAATCCAATTGTCGGATTAACGAATCAAGTTAAATTATATGACATGCTTATGTAAAACTTTGGTGAAAGAGCGATATTGTTGGGTCATGAACAGCTTGGAATCTAACGTCAACATATTTCTACATACAAACAAGATCCCACTAGGCATTCCTTGACACATGAGCTCGAGCTCACTATTAGCGATCGCTAGTATTGTCGTAGTTCTCGATTTTTTGTATGACCGATTGATACATAAAGTGTTAGCAGGTGTGTACGCCATAGAAATTGAAGTTGAATTGCGAAAATATACTCCACAAACAGTTTCTAGTTATTATAATAAGTACGCAAATAATGTATGGAAAGCACGGAAACGCCTTACCTATTCGCAACGATATGGTGGTGGAGGTTGAGAGCATTTGAAGGTCAAACTGAAGGAAAACGATTGGTTCATCAGATTCAGCTTAGTGAGTTAAGGATAGAAGGCCTATGGCCTGTTTTAGTCGTATCCTAGTAAACTTATGAGTGTCTAGTCTTCTCATGAATGAATTAGCTGAAGGCGCGGACACCATTTCTTCGGGTGACTCCTTGTGAAAACCTGTATGTCACGAGAATTTTGTTCGTTCTTGGCTTTTGTACTTGCCTGGTACGTCCACTGAGTTGTCCTGACCTGTTAGAAAAAAAAGAGAGGATATACCACATCCAAAAACAGACAGATAGCACAGAGTAAAGAAGTCTAGCTTCTTTATTCTTCAGTAATAAGGGTAGTAGGTTGGTGAACCTGTGTTAATTCTGACAGATTGCCTCCCAGTGAGGGTCCAGCTTCTGCTTGAAAATATTCACTGATGGGGCTGATACCACTTGTTCACATGAGGTGTTTCAGTCATTGACCACTGGATGAGAAAAACGGAACCTCACTTTTAGTTTAATAGATCGTGGTTTGTAAACCTTCTTGTTATGACCTCAGAGATTATTAGTGCTGAAGGGAGTGAAAAGATAAAACACATTAACACGCAAATCATAATTAAGGATATGAAATGCCAGTATAATGTCACCTCGCGTCCTACGATACAACAAGAGGAAACGTTTTAGGCGTTCTAAACGCTCATCGTAAGGAAGTTTAGAAAGACCCTTCACTAATTTTGTTCCCACACGCTGAACACGCTCAAGTGAGTTAGCATCCTTAATCAGATATGAGCTAGCTGTTTGGATACAGTACTGAGAGTGTGACCTTTTGTAAGTGGGATAATAATAATAATGTCGACGGCCTCTGCTGGAATGCTGTCTAGTCCTGCTGCTTTGCCACTCTTGATTTGTCTGGTAGCCATGCTGATCTCTTCAATTGTTGGTGCGCCAACATCAATTGGGATGTCCGTGAGTGCTGCTTCTATGTTGGGTGGGTTCAGTGGGGCTGGTCGATTCAAGAGTTCTTTGAAGTGTTCTACCCATCTGTTTCGTTGTTCTTCAATGTTGGTGATTATCTTGCCTTCCTTGCTTTTCACTGGTCGTTCTGGTTTACGGTGATTTCCAGAGAGTTTCTTTGTTGTTTCATACAGTTGTCTCATGTTTCCTTCTCTGGCAGCCTTTTCCGCCGTCAATGCCAAATCCTCCACATATTTACGTTTGTCAGTTCTGATGCTCCTTTTCACTTGCTTGTTTACTTCTGTGTATTCAGCCTGTGCCTTGACTTTTTCTGCTCTTGTTCGACTGGTATTGATTGCTGCTTTCTTGTTCCTCCTTTCTTGAATCTTATCCAGTGTATCGACCGTGATCCAATCCTTGTGATGGTGCTTCTTTTGGCCCAGAACCTCATGACATGTTGAAGTGATTGCTTCTTTTATCTCTTTCCAGTTGCTCTCCATAGTAGTAGATCATGAAAGGCTTGGAACTTATTGCTGAGGGTTATCTTGAATTTATTGAGTTTGTCAGTATCCCGAAGAAGAGCCGTATTAAATTTTTGTGATATTGTCCTCCCCGTTGTCCAGTGCCTCTTGAGTTTCAATTTCATCTTGGCGACCAGCAAGTGATGATCTGATGCTATATCAGCTCCTCTCTTTGTTCTCACGTCCTCCATCGTCCTCCTGAACTTTTTGTTGATGCAGATATGGTCGATTTGGTTCTGTGTGGTGTGATCCGGTGAAGTCCATGTGGTTTTGTGTATGCGTTTATGTGGGACTATATTCCCACATATGACCAGTTTATTGAAGGCACATAGATTTGCAAATCTCTCACCATTTTCGTTCCTTTCTCCGAGTCCGTGTCGTCCCATGATCTCTTCATATCCGGTGTTGTCAGTTCCAACCTTGGCATTTAGGTCTCCCATTAGAATAGTCAGGTCTTTTGTTGGGCACTTCTCGACGATTGACTGCAGCCTATCGTAGAATTGATCTTTAGCGTCTTCGTTGTATTCGTTGGTAGGCGCATAGCATTGGATGACGTTCATTGTAATCCCCGTTTTCTTGGTTTTGAAGGAGGCTTTGATGATCCTTGGTCCATGAGATTCCCATCCTATAAGTGCATTTTGTGCTTGTTTGGACAGCATCAATGCAACTCCTTGTGTATGTGGAGCATTTTCTTGTTCATGTCCGGAGTATAACAGCAGCTCCCCTGAAGCTAGTCGTTGTTGTCCAACTTGCGTCCAATGTGTTTCACTGATCCCAAGCACCTCTAAATTGTATCTCCTCATTTCTGCAGCAATTTGGAAAACTCTCCCAGTCTCCCACATTGTGCGAGCATTCCATGTACCTAAGTGAATGGTTGCTCTGGTTGTCAGAAGGTGCATCGGCCTCGTGACTTCCGAAGAAACTCGGCTTTCATCGTGAGGCGTCATAATTCTTCTAAACGAAGACCTTCTGACTCCCAGGGCAGAGTTTAAATGGTTTGAATAATTCTTTCTGGTTAGCGTTTTTTTAGCGAGTTAGTTTTCTACGGGATGGGGTCGCTAACGCCATGCCCAACCCTCCTCCTTTATCCGGGCTTGGGACCGGCAGTAGCCCCCGGAAAGGGGCTCCAGGCGGAGTTCCCGACAAGTATAAGTTGTTATTATTCATAATTTGTCGAGTGCTGTTTTTGATGTGACTCATTTACAAGTTATACCCCTTAATATTGAATTTTATGATAGAATAATGTTAGTTAGATGGATGTAGGTTCAGTTTGGTGACCTGTACGCCAGAAACCAGCGATATCTCCTTTTGGTGGATTTAGAAACAGACCTTAACGTTGTACTTATTTTGCTGATTAATTTTGTAAAAATCGTTAAATTTTTTCTCTCTGCACTGACTAACAAATTTTTTCCATCCATACGCAATTGTCACATAATTACTTATATTCTGTTTGGCTAGTTATCCATCATTTAAATTCAAATACATACGTCTTAGCTAAACATGTCCGTAGTTCTGGTTATTTTTCATCTTTAGGTATCAAATCGATTTTTCACATGTATGACTAGAGTTTATTAATATTATTGTACATTATTTGGATTTTCCCCTTTCTTCATGCTCAACATGCACAATAATTCTGTGCATTAGAATAATACACACACACACACACGAAAGCCACATATTTACACAATATTTTCTCATGGAAGAACACTACGCTATTTGTGAGTTTATTTCGTATTTTTCCACTTTTCTATCAGTGTTCCACCTGGAAACTCAAAGAGAAAGCTATGTAGAAACGGTTAATGTAGACCCAATCTCATGATTTCGCCTTAATTGTACAATTATGTTTATTCAGTATAAAATTTTGTCTTGAGTATTTTGTAGAACGCCATCGTCATCTGAATAATACACCGATTACTACTCACTTAATACACGTCCTGCCTTGCATACTTTTGTTTTCAATCCCTAGTCACCGTCACACAACCTATTACTCAAATCCCAATTGGTACTTCAATCATTATCCTAATCAATGCTCTGTTACAACAATTGAATGTATTTGTTGTTCCGTATCCACCGAATTCGCTCCATAATTGCAAATTCGTATTACATTAACGTTAAG